GAGAGCGTTGTCGCCTTTCTTGAAGAACAAGACCACCGCACTTCTGCTCCACGCCTCCAGTGTAACGCCACCATGGAGGACGGAATTAAAGAGCTTCTGAAGGACTTCAAGTACCGGTTTTCCACCCGCTTTCAGAAGCTCCGCTGTAATTCCATCCTCGCCTGGGGCCTTGCCGTTTTTAAGGTGCTGGAGAGCCATTCTAATCTCGCTCAGACTGACGTCCGGGATATCATCGGAATAATGTTGGATAAGACTCGCTCTTGGATCGTTACTCACACTTGCGTGCGGCTCCAACGATGACGTGTACAGCTGCCCATAGAACCTCTCAATCTCACTCAAAATCTCAGGTGCCCCGGAAATGATGCTGCCACATTCGGTCTTCAGCATTGACAGTTGGCTCTTTCTAGCTGACAGATCTCTGGCAAAGACTTTGGAGCCTTGGTTCCGCTCGATCGCTTCTTCAATACGAGCTGTATTGAAGTTGCGTAAGTCCCGCCGCATGCATTTGGAGATCTGTCTGTTCAGTTGCCTGTATGCTGTCAAATCTGTTGAAGAATGTAGCTTCATCTCCCGTCTAACAGCCATGAGATTAAGAGTGTGATCGGAGAGTTTTTGTGTTCTTCTGCGGCGGGTCTTGCAGAACTTAGCCCGACCGCATGGACAGTTTCCACGAGCTTGTCATTCAAATCGTCCACTTCATTGCAGTCTTCTAGGCACTGAAGACGGTTTTGTAACTCGAGCTGATAGGTTTTGGGAGTTTGGATTAGAGCACGAGGGGGACGGAGCGTTGACTTCATTAGCCGTGACCTCTCCAACTTAACGTTTAGGTTCAGTGTGCCTCTCACCATTCGGTGATCACTGCGGGTTTTCACCCTCGCGATAACTGAACAGTTGTCGTCAGGTCGTCATAATGAAGTCAATCTCATTTTTTGTCGAACCGTCGGGGCTCGACCAGGTCCACTTCCTGTGGGGCCGCTTCTGGAAGAAAGAGTTCATCATAAAGAGTCGCTCTTTCTCCATGAAGTCGGCCAGCTGCTGGCCCCTTGGGTTCCGTTGCCCTATTCCAAATTTCCCCACTTTCAGCTCACCGTTCTCTCTTGTGCCTAGTTTTGCATTGAAGTCTCCCATTAACACCGTATATAGGGTTTTGGAGGAATGCATGGCTCTAGAGATATCCTCATACATTTCCTCCACCTCCTGATCGGGGTGTGCCGAGGCTGGTGCGTAAACCTGTATGACCTTCAGCGAATACCGTTTGATGATTCTGAGTATAAGGTACGCAACCCTCGTCGACACACTCTCAATCTTTACAACGTTGTTACGTCAACGAGAGACTTGTGGACGATAAATCCGACATCTCCTTGGGACAGATGGTCGCCCTCCCGGTAATAGAGCAAGTTGCCGGATTCGAGGATTACCGTGTCCTCCCCCTCTCTTCGGACTTCGGATAATCCTTTAATATGCCAGCGTAACTCTCTTCTTCCAGCTCCACAATCTTCTTGTCAGTCCTCAGGGTGCATGCGTTGTATGTTGCCAGGTCGAGTCGTCGTAGGTGGCAACCGAACCTCTACCGGAGATTCTTAGCACCCCCTGCCCCGCCGTTACCATGGTCGCCACCGTAGCCAGGAATAGCGGGGCCGCCGGGGACTGGGGGCCGTCTCTTCGTAACTTTCATCATGGGGGGTATATTGCCATAGTTGCCACGCTTGGCGAGCGGGTTGGCAACCGCAGTTTTTTTATTGTATTTTTGCCGTTACCAGGAACATGCTGCTGCCCATCCCCTGCCCGTTTCACTCTGTCGCCTTTTACGACACCCACGGGAAGATATGGGGTAGTGGATATTCTTAACCGCCACTACACGGCTATATACAAGTATACCAAGAAATTATATCGACCATCAACCAAGATAATCCAGATTTTGTGCGAAGGATCACAGACATGCACATACAGTGGTATTTTAACGCCCCTTCTTGGCCCTCAGCAGGCGGGTTTTGGGGGGCGGCCGTTAAAAGTCTAAAATATCACCTGAAACGCGTCATCGGTGAAAAGAGAATAATTTATGAGGAGTTCTCCACCATACTGTACCAACTAGAAGGCTGCTTAAATGCAAGGCCATTGTATGCCATGAATAAAGAACCAGACAACCTGGACGATTTGACGCTAGCAGACTTCCTAGCAAGTGGACCTGTGTTGAAGATATTTGATACAGAGCAAGATCTACGTACGAACAGGATGGTACCTTTGTCAAAAAATTTACAACGAAATATGGAAACGATGGCCGTTCAGAGTACTTGACTCAACTAAATGTACGCGGCAAGTGGCAAAGGGAACAAAGAAATATCAAGATTGACGTCGTCGTGCTCGTCCACGAAGACAACTTACCTCCAGGACGGTGAGCGATGGGTCGCGTCGTCGAACTTCATCCCGGCTCTGATGAGAAGTGAGAGTGGTTACAATTAAAACCAAGAATGGCTGAAGAAGGCCGGTAGTGAAATTATCGCTACTACCTGTAAATCAAGACTCAGATAATAACACAAACAAACCATCATCAATCAAGAACGATACATCAAAGGAGCTGGCCTTACCAATCGAAAACACACAAGCAAGCCTTCAAAGTATTTATCTACTCTTAACAATAAAGACCAGAATTAGCGAAGATTACCTACTGTTCGAGATAAAGGTGCCGCTCATCGGGAGAGATTCCTTCGAAATATTTCATCTTATTCCAGTACCGACCAAAATTAATAACAGCAAAATGGTTAACACGATACTAATATCGAACGTTACGTTTTATGTAATGTCAAATTTTCGTAATATATATCGTAGCAGGTTAAAGAAAACATTTTTTTTTCATTCACGCCATCTAGCGTTCAATTTTCGTAAATGTGGGGAATAAGAATTCACCCACGTTTCTGTGTGTAAAAGACACTATATTCAATGACAGATGTTATTTTCGGACTTTGTGTTGAATTGTGTGGATATTGAGGCAATGATATGACCTAGTGAAATAAAGTATAATGTCTGAGTACCGCGATTGCTACTTCTACGACTTAATAATGTTCCAATTACACATAAACCCAAATAAATTAAAAAATGATGACTTCAGCGATATCTCGCGGGAATATGGCCGGGAACAGACCGTATGTTTCACCTTAACTGTGAGGGGAAAATTGGTATCATAATTCGCATCGTGTAGTTATTAATTAAAGTATTAATAGTGAGCGTGTCAATACGAAAGTAAACAGCAAGCAAAAACTTTGTGAATTGAATCGCACACGGAGGAGCGCGCGTAAGCATAGTTGTTGCCCATAAATAATATATTTTTTTATAGGATAGGTGACAAACGAGCACACAGTCCACCTGATGGTAAGTGGTTGCTGTGGCCCATAGACATCTACATCTATCTTCGATTATGAATCAAAATGCAGATGCGTTGTCACCCGTGAGGACCAAGATGGAATGCCTCGTTTCCAGTAAAGAGGGTCTCCGTTTCTCTACATAGGCTGCACTAAAAGTATCGGGAATGGAATATTTCCACTGTTCCTGTCATATTAAAATCTTTTTAATTGAAAAGTCCTTGGTTTTTTAAAATTGAATACCATTTATTTATTTAAAAAAAGATTCTCGGTCTTGTCACAAGGTTTTGTCAAACTTGTTTAGTCGTTGAGAAAATGGAATTGACTCGAGAAAATTCAAGAGCGATGATTTATTATGACTTTCGAAGTGGTTTAACACAAAAACAGTGTGTTGACCGGATGATTTCTGCATTTGGTGATGGTGATCCAAAACCACAATTTATCGCTGGTTTGCTGAATTTCAACGTGGACGTGTCAAGCTCAGTGATGATCCCCGTCAAGGTCGTCCAAAAACTGCAGTCACCCAAGAAAACGTTGATGCTGTGCGTAAGCTGATTGAGGAAGATCGACATGTGACATACCGCGAAATTCATGCAACTTTAGACATTGGCATGAGTCAAATACAAATAATCTTGCATGAACAATTAGGTGTAAAAAAGTTGTTTTCCCGATGGATACCGCATTCTCTGTGAAGAGCAAAAAGCGGCTCACGTTAATTGGTGCGTCAGAACTCTCGAAAGATTCCACGCAGGATCCTCAAATGCTGTATACAACATCGTATCAGGTGACGAATCCTGGATATACGCGTACGAACCCGAAACAAAAAACCAGTCACAAGTTTGGGTGTTCGAAAATGAGTTAAAGCCATCAAAAATTGTTCGTTCACAGAGTGTTGCAAAAAAAATGGTGGCCACGTTTGTCTCCAAAACCGGCCATGTTAAGACTATTCCTCTTGAGGGACAAAGAACGGTTAATGCAGAATGGTATGCTAGCATTTGTTTGCCACAGGTCGTTTCTGAACTCCGTAAAGAGAACTGCAACCGCCGCATCATCCTCCATCACGACAATGCGAGTTCTCACACCGCACACAGTACAAAAGAGGTTTTAGAACAAGAAAACATAGAATTATTAGATCATCCGCCGTACAGCCTCGACCTAAGCCCTAATGATTTATATACTTTCCCTAAAATAAAGAATAAATTGCGTGGACAGAGATTTTCATTACCTGAAGAAGCTGTGGACGCCTACAAAACGGCCATTTTGGAGACCCCAACTTTCGAATGGAATGGTTGCTTCGATGATTGGTTCCATCGTATGGAAAAATGTGTCTAATTTCGCGGAGAATACTTCGAAAATCAATAAATACATTTTTAAATAGTAATGTTGTGTCACTTCCTTGATTCCCGAAATTTTCAGTGCCGCCCTCGTACACTTACCATACGAAACACAGCAGGGTTAAGCTGCTATTTTACGCTGGTATTCTGTGAGAGCGTGGTCCTTCCCCGGTCGAGCCGAACCATTTGTGCTACAACCATAATATAGCTGCAGCATGGCTCAACCACGTATAAATTTGTGATAATTTCAAATAAAAGTAGAGGCCTCATAACAGAGACGTATATATAACACATTGGTTGGTATAATTACCGTGCAGCGCGACGGCCAGGCTGTTGGGCGTGCAGTAGTCGTGCGCCAGGTCCGCCAGGAAGCGCAGCGCCGCCGCCTTGCTCTTGCCGGTGGGCGCCGCCGCGCCGTCCGCCAGGAACCTGCCGCCGACGTACGTCATTAGCCGCTCCGAGGATATTTAATCATTACAGCCTATCAAAGTCCACTGCTGAACATGGGCTTCCCCATATATTGCCTCATAGGAGGTATAGCTGCCACAGTTACCAATCGTCAGCCGCTCCGAGGACATTTAAACATCATCATCATTAAAACTTATCAACGCCCACTATTAAACATATATAAGTCACGGCACGTAGGTCTAGCGGTGGCCGTTATTACGCATAAGTCAAAAATAAGGTAGCATGGGGTAGTAATCGGGTCGCGGGACGGGCGTGCGTATCGTTCGCACGCGCTGATTGGCTCTCCAGTCGCATTCCGTACCCGTGCGCGTAAGTACCCATGCGCAGCTATCCCCTCCAAGTTTCGTTCAGCGCTAGAGTTACGTGCTGCGACATGTAACATATTTGCCACGCTTAGGAGGCGGGTTAGCAACCATAGTTTAGTTTATTATTGAGTTGTTAGTAGTACGATACTGCTATCCATCTGTTTCAATTTCCCTCTATCGCTTCTTACGTCACTCAAGGGATGATGACACTCCATCTTTTCACAGAGATAAAATATGGTGCAGTGACAGATACACTAATTTAGTATAATACACGACCAAAATATCACACATCGAGCCATAGACTACAGTATAGTAATCACGATGCGTTTTTATGCTAACTTGTCACTCGTGGTACAAGTTTCTTAGGGTTTGATCGCATTCACTTCAAAATATATTATAGTACTAAGTTGGAAAACTAATTCATAAAGGTTTATAAATTTACAAAGGCGTGATTATTTTACAACTTATTAATTATAAGGCATTTAGCACTTTGTTTGACAGAGATGACACGCAACCAAGTCCTCAGCCAGTCGAGATCAAATTCAGTCCGAAAGAGAAACTATGGTAGAGCGTGTAAATCTTACACCACATGCATTCTCCGAATGAGGCGCCTCCAAAATCAAGCGTATCTCTTCACTACTAAAGGAACAAGCTTACCTTGATTACTTCTTTCCGAAATGTATCACTGGAATATACCGATCGCCTTCAGTTGTTAGGGTTTGAGATATCCTCAAATTTGAACTTCGGGCGGTTCATTGATTCAAAGGTCAGAGCAGCTACAAGGAAGCTGGACATCCTTGCAAAGGTGCAGCGATACTTCACGCCGAGACATCTGCTTACTTTATATAAAACGCAAGTCCGGTCGTGTATTGGAGTATTACTGCCATTTATGGGCTGGTGCTGCAAAATGCCACCTAGCAGTTTTGGACTCAATGGAAAGGCGTGCTAAAAGGCTTATTGGTGACCCGAATTTGGTAAAAATCAATCTTACCAGCCGCGAACACAGGCGCAAAGTAGCCAGCCATTCGGTTTTCTACAGGATGCATTTCGGAGTGTGCGCAGGAATTGCATAATTTAATTCCTCCGTCTTCCTTCCACCGTCGGACAACCAGACGTTCAGCCAGTCTCCACCCCTTCGTAGTTGACTTACCACACATTAGAACCAAACGGTTTTCTACATCGTTCATCATGCGTACACAGCAAAGGAGTGGAATAAGTTGCCAGCATCTGTGTTTTCATCCGATTACAATGTGGGTGTTTTCAAGGCAAGAGTGAATAGGCATTTGTTAAGTCAGTGCGCTTCACCATCTTAGGCTACATCACCACTTACCATCAGGTGGGATCGTAGATAAGCGCTGGCTTAGAATAATATATATAAAGAAAAAGGCTACAAGGACGATTATAGCAAACAGTCTTTATCTAAAGCTCGATGTGTTATATTTATGACCGGATATCGTAGCGTATTAATGTAAACTCTAGGCCACAAAGTTGCATGTTATCTAAAACATAAAATTTTAAAAACAAAGACCTATCAAAAAATTCGACAATATACAACATACCTAAATATATTATGTAATTGTAACTCAGCGGGAAAGTATTCGTGTATGACATCCAGCGTCTTCATGATCTTGCTCTGTACGGAGCCTAAAATATCCGTCCCAAGTTTCATTAACAGTCTGTAACGAAAAAAAAAGTAATTTTACATAACTATATTTATAAAATAAAAAAAAAACTTTGTCGATTGTTCGAATTATAATATATATAAAAAAAATTAAGTACAAGCCACTATTTTTAAATCCTTTCTTTATTGGCACGATTCAGTAAAAAGGGATTTAATGATAATGATACTTAAAATAAGAAAAGATTTCACCACGATAGCAACTTTTGGTAGTACCAGACAGTGTTCATATCCTAGATTACAAAAATATTTTCCTTTTTAAAGCGCTATTTAGTTGTACGCTTACCTAAACATTAACTGATAAAGCCAGTCCTTCAACTGGTGGCAGTGTACAAGTAGGAGCTCGCACACTGCATCCAACAATAACGAGAACACTTTCGTGTGCGCGTCCACAAACATCTTGTTGAGCAGCTCGGTCAAACGCCGGAGTTGGTCCTCCGTTAAAAGACGTCCGCTGTTCAGATAGTTTGCCTGCAGACAGGAAATGCTTATCAGTGAGCTGAAATATTCATAAATGGACTGATAAAAATTTGTAAGTATAAAAAACGATGTAAGAATATCTACTACATATTATCGTCCCGTGGGTGTCAGAAAAAGGCGACAGAGAAAAATTGAAACAGTAGATGGACACCAGCATGTTCTAATAACAATTCAAAATAATAAAAAAAATGCGGTTGCCAACCCCCACTTGGAGGATTTTGCCTACTACCTGGAGAAATTCGATGCGTGGCAACTAAAGCAAAAACCTTTCTATGAGGAAATCTATGGATGAGGCTTATTGTTCAGTAGTGAACTTTTATATGCTGTAATAGAAAATGAATTAATGACACCACAAATTAAAATATTCGCGTTTGTAAATTTCAATTTGCGTGTGAATGGGCGTATGTCTGCGAGCGTGTGACTGTGTACATATATGCGTAATAACTTCGCACATGAGTTTTGGAGGGAATTTGACGGCCGGCGGATAGCTGTTCCTATAATATTGTTTAAATAATGTTTGAAGTGCACTTGATATGTAGGAGAGCTGTAATTTTGTGTATCAAATGTCTGCGGATGTGAACTATAATTGGAAACAGTGAAACAAGTACTCCGATGGGGATAATGTGACCCTCAAGATAATGTGTTTGCTTAGGCGCCTTGAGATAATATCGCCATCAATAATTGTCTGCTGGCCCAAGCGGCCGTCAATATCTTCCAAAAACGTGGCAATATGGCTCATGAATATAATGAAGAAGTGTACTACTAGGGATAAATACTTATTACTTGATACTGGCAAAAGTACAGCCATACGACGTGTCCATGTGTGCCTGCGAGCGGTGTATTCGTATGTGTGCGCATGTACGGGTGTGTGTGTGTGTGTGTGTACGCACGAGGTGGGTGAGGCCGTCCTTGCGCTCGGTCCAGTGCGTGCAGGCGCACAGCGCGATGATCTCGTCGGCCGGCGGCGGCGAGCCCTCCCACCCCAGCCGCGTATGTGTGCGCATGTGCAGTGTGTGCGGGTGTGTGTGTGTGTGTACGCACGAGGTGGGTGAGGCCGTCCTTGCGCTCGGTCCAGTGCGTGCAGGCGCACAGCGCGATGATCTCGTCGGCCGGCGGCGGCGAGCCCTCCCACCCCAGCCGCGTATGTGTGCGCATGTGCAGTGTGTGCGGGTGTGTGTGTGTGTGTACGCACGAGGTGGGTGAGGCCGTCCTTGCGCTCGGTCCAGTGCGTGCAGGCGCACAGCGCGATGATCTCGTCGGCCGGCGGCGGCGAGCCCTCCCACCCCAGCCGCGTATGTGTGCGCATGTGCAGTGTGTGCGGGTGTGTGTGTGTGTGTACGCACGAGGTGGGTGAGGCCGTCCTTGCGCTCGGTCCAGTGCGTGCAGGCGCACAGCGCGATGATCTCGTCGGCCGGCGGCGGCGAGCCCTCCCACCCCAGCCGCGTATGTGTGCGCATGTGCAGTGTGTGCGGGTGTGTGTGTGTGTGTACGCACGAGGTGGGTGAGGCCGTCCTTGCGCTCGGTCCAGTGCGTGCAGGCGCACAGCGCGATGATCTCGTCGGCCGGCGGCGGCGAGCCCTCCCACCCCAGCCGCGTATGTGTGCGCATGTGCAGTGTGTGCGGGTGTGTGTGTGTGTGTACGCACGAGGTGGGTGAGGCCGTCCTTGCGCTCGGTCCAGTGCGTGCAGGCGCACAGCGCGATGATCTCGTCGGCCGGCGGCGGCGAGCCCTCCCACCCCAGCCGCGTATGTGTGCGCATGTGCAGTGTGTGCGGGTGTGTGTGTGTGTGTACGCACGAGGTGGGTGAGGCCGTCCTTGCGCTCGGTCCAGTGCGTGCAGGCGCACAGCGCGATGATCTCGTCGGCCGGCGGCGGCGAGCCCTCCCACCCCAGCCGCGTATGTGTGCGCATGTGCAGTGTGTGCGGGTGTGTGTGTGTGTGTACGCACGAGGTGGGTGAGGCCGTCCTTGCGCTCGGTCCAGTGCGTGCAGGCGCACAGCGCGATGATCTCGTCGGCCGGCGGCGGCGAGCCCTCCCACCCCAGCCGCGTATGTGTGCGCATGTGCAGTGTGTGCGGGTGTGTGTGTGTGTGTACGCACGAGGTGGGTGAGGCCGTCCTTGCGCTCGGTCCAGTGCGTGCAGGCGCACAGCGCGATGATCTCGTCGGCCGGCGGCGGCGAGCCCTCCCACCCCAGCCGCGTATGTGTGCGCATGTGCAGTGTGTGCGGGTGTGTGTGTGTGTGTACGCACGAGGTGGGTGAGGCCGTCCTTGCGCTCGGTCCAGTGCGTGCAGGCGCACAGCGCGATGATCTCGTCGGCCGGCGGCGGCGAGCCCTCCCACCCCAGCCGCGTATGTGTGCGCATGTGCAGTGTGTGCGGGTGTGTGTGTGTGTGTACGCACGAGGTGGGTGAGGCCGTCCTTGCGCTCGGTCCAGTGCGTGCAGGCGCACAGCGCGATGATCTCGTCGGCCGGCGGCGGCGAGCCCTCCCACCCCAGCCGCGTATGTGTGCGCATGTGCAGTGTGTGCGGGTGTGTGTGTGTGTGTACGCACGAGGTGGGTGAGGCCGTCCTTGCGCTCGGTCCAGTGCGTGCAGGCGCACAGCGCGATGATCTCGTCGGCCGGCGGCGGCGGCGGGGGCGGCGGTGGCGAGCCCTCCCACCCCAGTCGCGCCCACGACGCGCTCTGGATATTAATACGATCACATTATTAAACAATTGCCTTTACTAGTATAGTATCTAAGATTTGGTTAAATTATTACATATTTTATACAAAACTATTACTTTGTCCTTCGAGCCGGACACTGTTTAAATGAAACACAGAAACAATGAAACAACACTGAAGAAAGTAATAATAAAAAAAAATTATGTATGTACTTGGTGTGCATTATACTTTATAGTACGAGCATAACTCAAAAGTTATAAAAAAACGACTTCCAATGTCAAGTTGGATGATCGATACTCTTAATCATGCACACCAAGTACACCATTTTTTTATTATTACTCTTTTCAGCAAAATAACTACTACTAAATATTCATTGAAATTATAGTGCGTTGCGTAGTAAAATATATTATTTGTTTTCATAATTTCTAACTATTCGTGAACGGGTAGTGTACTGTTCTGTACAACTATCGGTTGATTTATTAAAATTTTCAAAAATTGCATTTTTTTCTAATAACAAACAAATGTAATTTTTAACTTACGTCATGCCTTCTGTAAGAGTCTAAGCTCCTTTCTGAGCAAACACTGGAAGCTTCAGAATCATCGTCCCGACGACGATCATCACACGCTGAACTGTCGTCAGGGCTCTGAAAGATGATGGGTTTGTATTTTAAAATAATTATTGTTATATTGTTTAATATTCGTAACACTAGGACTAGGAATAGTAGGACTTTCCTTCTCTGTCTAGGATGGACCAATTTCTAACCTATTTCTGTCGCCAAATAGCAGTGCTTGCATTGCCGTGTTCCGGTCTGTAGGGTATGGAGAGGTAGTATAATTACAGACGTGCTATGTTAATCCGTAACGAATTTGTAGGCTTTCTTGTTTGAAGTTGAGGTGCAGGTGTGCATAGCCTGCAGTAGGTAGTTATCAGGTGGAGTGAAGTTTGTTGGGCACTTGAGGGTAATACATAAGTGGGTACCCGCAGCGTGGCCTCCGCGTCCCTGGACTGCTGCAGCAGGCGCAGCGTGGCGGCGGGCGCGCGCGCGCTGCGCTCCGCCGACTCGCGCCGCCGCACGCCGCCCGCGCCCACCACGCTGTTCGACCGACCGCTCCTGCAACACAAACCATTCATTGCTACGTGCGTGTCTTGTGGTCGCCGCGGCATGGCGTGAGACAACGCTATACAAGAACACACACACGCAAGCACGCACACTTATTCTCACGCACGCACACTTGTTCTCACGCACGCACATACCTTGTGTTTTAATGTTTCTGTTTATTCCTTATAAAACATAATTTTATAAATGCAAAAGTTTTGTTGAAATGTATGTTTGTTACTTAATCACGCCATTTGTAAATTTGCAATAAAAGGATTTTAATGCAAATTACCTTATAAATATATTTTTTTAATACAGTTCCTCAAAAAGTGGCGTATTGCAGGGACGTATAGCGTTCGGGATGTGGGCTATTACATACTCGAGCTTTTTCTTTACCTTTTACGAACTCGTGCGTTCTCTTTCCCAACTGTCAAAATAATGTTTATTAAAAAGAAAAAAGTTCATAGAAGTTTTTATGATTCATGCAAATATTTCTAAAAAGAAGCTACTAATTTGTTTCAATATCAGATTTAATGATTTAATTCAATGAGTTAGGTTAGGTTACATTTCATTTCATCAATAAAAAAAGTCTACTGAAGACTTGGCTGTATGGGCATAGTTTCCTTTGCCTACCCAGAATGGGTGGAGAAAACAAAAAAATCTATTCTTTTACGGTTCGCGCCATTTTGCAAGTTTAGTTCTTTGTTGCACAAAATAAATAATTTCGACGATATTTTATTTGAATTAACACCACCGGAACTCAGTAATATTGCACAAAATGCTTCGGAGAACATTTTACCGGAAAAGTCAAAAAGTCGCTACATATCTACATACGACGAATTTATTGCGTGGAGAGAAGAGAAAAAAGCAAATAGTTTTTCAGAAAATGTTATGTTGGCATACTTCTCCGAACTCTCAGCAAAATTAAAACCTTCTACGTTATGGTCGAGGTTTTCAATGACAAAAATTAAGCTGAAAATAAGGAACAACGTGGATATAAGTGAATACCCAAAACTAAATGCTTTCTTAAAATATAATTAATAAAATCAGGCGTTACTTTGCGGCAATCCATTATATTAAAGCTTTTTAAAAAGTTACTTCGCAGAAATCCGCTCTATAAAATAAAATGTGAAGTCAAGTCAAGTCTTAACGGTCAGCCACCGCAGAGTCTACATCACCTGAGGATGCCTCGTGTAGAAGCGAAACACGTGTCGTATTGTCGTCAGTGGTGTGTCTTTCCTAGTGTAGTGGTGCTGGGATAAGTGGTGACGGGGGGGGGGGGGGGGGGGTTAACATCGAATGAAGTGGTTTTTGAACGAAGCCCCCGATGATCATTATTTAGCCACAAAGGTAATTTATTAAATAAATACTTATATTTTTGTTTAGTATTTAGTTTACGAAATCGCTAAATACCGTCAATATACATCTACAGCGGTCACCAAATACGCTAATGGCCCGCACCGCTGCCCTCGAGCTACTGTCTCTCTTAGCCCAGCGCCGGAATCACCGGAGCTGGCACAGTCGCCCCCCCCCCCCCCCGGCGTTACCTCACCTCGCCACTATCGGGTGATTCGCTAAGTCGAAGGCGATTGGATGCCGGCTCAAATGACCATTTTTGGGCCTAAGCACAATGCATTATTTTAAAGTCCAGTCCGTCTCCTTCACATGACAATACTGAAGAGAACGTTCGTCCATCTACCTTCGTTGATAACGATAATTCATCAGATCCAATTCCAGCAACTAGCAAACGCTATTGTATAACACCTTTGACAAATATACATGAACAATCAAATCAAAAATCAAATTAATAATAGTTTGTCTCAAACAGTAAATATGCAAGCTAAAACTTCCCCAGTTAGTATAAAAAACTGTACCAATTTCAATGTATATGTGAATTATAACTTTGATAAGAAAATAAATGATTAGTTAGTTGATTTTATTATTTTATTAAACTGCTTAATTTTTTGGCAACTGTATTAAAAATAGTTGTTCAGTACACGTGCGGAACCGTCATTGCAACTTGTTCCGACTGTCAACCCTCACCTTCGGCTGCACCTCCGCTCGGGTAGACATGTGTCGGAACTCTTTGCAATGACAGGCTTTCCGCACTCGTAATGAAATATACTATTTTCATGAATAATGACATAGGTACTCTTTACAACACTATAAAATTCGAGAGGTTGTGATTACAACGAAACGTATTCATAAATTTAGAGAACCGGACGGATAATAGCTGTTTAATAGCTTAATGATTACACAATATACCTTGAGGATCACCAGCTGATTAGTGACCGCCAATACGGTTTTCGTCGGGGTCGATCAGCTGGTGATCTTCTGGTCTACCTGACCCATAGATGGGCGGAGTAGAGTCCAAGGAGGAGGCGTTGGCCTTCGATCGGGTTTGGCACAAAGCGCTTCTTCATCGCCATCACCTCCTTGTTCTCCAAAATAATGGAATCCATTATAAACTGCCAGCTCATGAGGTACCTTGAGGATCACCAGCTGATTCGTGACCGCCAATACGGTTTTCGTCGGGGTCGATCAGCTGGTAATCTTCTGGTCTACCTGACCCATAGATGAGCGGAGGCAGTAGAGTCCAAGAGGGAGGCGTTGGCCGTCAGTTTGGACATTGCGAAGGCCTTCGATCGGGTTTGGCACAAAGCGCTTCTTTCGAAGCTCCTTTCCTATGGGCTTCCCGAGAAATTGTGCGATTGGATCACCAGCTTCCTTGCAGATCGGAGCATCAAGGTCGTTGTAGACGGTGCATGCTCCGACTACAAGCCTATTAACGCTGGTGTTCCACAAGGCTGTGTGCTATCACCAACGCTGTTTCTTCTGCATATCAATGATATGTCGCTAACTGGTAACATTCATTGCTATGCGGATGACAGCACTGGTGATGCTCTATACACCGGCCGTGCCAATATTTCTCGGGAAAACGTCGCCGAGTACCGGAACAAACTTGAGTCTGAAGTCGAGTCTTTAGTCTCGGATTGGGGGCGACTAAATCTAGTCCAGTTTAATCCTCAGAAGACACAAGTTTGCGCGTTTACCGCTGCATAGGCTGCACTAAAAGTATCGGGAATGGAATATTTCCACTGTTCCTGTCATATTAAAATCTTTTTAATTGAAAACTCCTTGGTTTTAAAAATCGAATACCATTTATATATTTTAAAAAAGATTCTCGGTCTTGTCACAAGATTTTGTCAAACTTGTTTAGTCGTTGAGAAAATGGAATTGACTCGAGAAAATTTAAGAGCGATGATTTATTATGACTTTCGAACTGGTTTAACACAAAAACAGTGTGTTGACCGGATGATTTCTGCATTTGGTGATGAAGACCCATCCAAAACCACAATTTATCGCTGGTTTGCTGAATTTCAACGTGGACGTGTCAAGCTCAGTGATGATCCCCGTCAAGGTCGTCCAAAAACTGCAGTCACCCAAGAAAACGTTGATGCTGTGCGTAAGCTGATTGAGGAAGATCGACATGTGACATACCGCGAAATTCAGGCAACTTTAGACATTGGCATGAGTCAAATACAAATAATCTTGCATGAACAATTAGGTGTAAAAAAGTTGTTTTCCCGATGGATACCGCATTCGCTCTGTGAAGAGCAAAAAGCGGCTCGCGTTACTTGGTGCGTCAGAACTCTCGAAAGATTCCACGCAGGATCCTCAAATGCTGTATACAACATCGTATCAGGTGACGAATGCTGGATATACACGTATGAACCCGAAACAAAAAATCAGTCACGAGTTTGGGTGTTCGAAAATGAGTTAAAGCCAACAAAAATAGTTCGTTCACGGAGTGTTGCAAAAAAAAATGGTGGCCACGTTTGTCTCCAAAACCGGCCATGTTACGACTATTCCTCTTGAGGGACAAAGAACGGTTAATGCAGAATGGTATGCTAGCATTTGTTTGCCACAGGTCGTTTCTGAACTCCGTAAAGAGAACTGCAACCGCCGCATCATCCTCCATCACGACAATGCGAGTTCTCACACCGCACACAGAACAAAAGAGTTTTTAGAGCAAGAAAACATAGAAATTAGACCATCCGCCGTACAGCCCCGACCTAAGCCCTAATGATTTCTATACTTTCCCTAATCATCATCATCATTCATCATTACAGCCATTCACAAGTCCACTGCTGAACATAGGCCTCCCCCAAAGAATGCCACAAAGCACGGTCCTGAGCCACCTGCATCCATCGACTTCCTGCATGTCTTACCAGGTCGTCACTCCATCTCGTGGGGGGACGCCCTACACTTCGCCTACCGGTACGAGGCTGCCACTCGAGAACCTTTCTTCCCCATCGGTTGTCGGTTCTTCGAGCTATATGGCCGGCCCACTGCCACTTCAGCTTACTAATCCGTTGGGCTATGTCGGTTACTCTGGTTCTACTGCGGATATCCTCATTCCTAAGTTTACCACGCAGAGAAACTCCGAGCATAGCCCTCTCCATAGCTCGCTGAGCGAACTTGAGCTTCCTCATATGGCCAGCAGTGTAGGACCACATCTCAGTTCCGTAAGTCATCACTGGCAACACGCACTGGTTGTATAATTTCGTTTTCAGGTTTTGAGGTATGTCTGACGAGAAGAGGTGTCGTAGCTTCCCGAACGCTGCCCAGCCGAGTTGAATCCGCCAATTGACCTCTCGGTCGAAGTTGGACTTACCTAGTCGGACTATTTGTCCCAGGTAAACATACTCGTCAACAACTTCGAGCTTAGTGCTCCCAACAACTACCGGCATAGGTGTGACATGGACATTGAACATGATCTTTGTTTTGTCCATGTTCATCTTAAGACCTATCCGTTGGGAAACACTATCGAGGTCATTGAGCATAGTGCTTAGGTCCTCCAGCGATTCTGCCATAAGGACTATATCGTCGGCAAATCGAAGGTATGATGTACTCGCCTTTCCCTAAAATAAAGAATAAATTGCGTGGACAGAGATTTTCATCACCTGAAGAAGCTGTGGACGCCTACAAAACGGCCATTTTGGAGACCCCAACTTCGGAATGGAATAGTTGCTTCAATGATTGGTTCCATCGTATGGAAAAATGTGTCAAATTTCGCGGAGAATACTTCGAAAAGCAATAAATACATTTTTAAATAGTAATGTTGTGTCACTTCCTTGATTCCCGAAATTTTCAGTGCCGCCCTCGTAAAAAGAACCCGTTTGTCGTATCTCCTCAGTTTCAAGGCACTCCCCTTCTTGCCTCAGCCAGTATCGGAATCCTCGGAGTCGACATATCGAGTGACGTGCAGTTTCGTAGTAACTTGAAAGAGAAGGCCAAATTGGCCTCTAAAAAGCTTGGCGTGCTCAGCAGAGCGGGACAGTATTTCATGCCGGCACACCGCCTGCAACTTTACAATGCGCAGGTTCGGCCTCACATGGAATACTGTTCCCATCTGCTGCCAGAGGTGTCAACAGTATGGGCATCCTGCGAAGTATTGCCGATCGAAGGAGGTCGTATGTGGAAAATGTAGAGAGGAAGGGCATGAGCGCGGCGCTTGCAAGTCCACGGAGAAGAAGTGCGCTACGTGTAAGCGATTTGGTAGATCTGACTCTGGCTCGCACGTGACCATGGCGAGGAACTGCCCAGCAAGGCTGTATGCAGAGCAACGCTCTGTGCCAGCACTCAATACTACCAGTAAGGGTGGCCCCGTAGACAACCATGAACACAAGGCATTACGACTAGGACAAATAACCTGGGTCGGGGGGAGCTTGCCACGGCTGAGTTGCCCATCGGGCGCGTGAACTGCACCTGGACATTGTTCTTGTACAAGAACAGTACTCCCAGGTTGCGGGGACCGTGCAGGTGAGCGGTCATCCGTGGGCTGGCGCTTATCTTGCCGACTCAACAATTGGAGCAACTGTGCTGAGTCACCTTAGCAATATCATCGGACTCAATGCCACTGGGGTGAACTACGGGCTGCTGCGCGAGTTTTGCGCATGGGAGTCGCGATCGTGGAATAGGGCAGGAGAGAATGCTGGTAGGAGAGCCCGATGTCGTAGGCGTTATAGTGCCGTCAGCCCCAGAAGGGGGAGAGTGACGTAAAATTGGGACAAGGAATAGATGAAATATTTGTAGGGAGTCAAGAAAGTGCACGCGGGAAAAGAGTCACGTCCAAGTACCGCGCGCATCTCCCGAGATTCGGCCCGTATGACCTGAGGGTCGGTGGGGCCATGGGAGGTGGAGGGTTGTTGTTCCCATCTCTGGGCAGGGGCTCCCCAGTGCCAGCTCCTTCCACTTGACCGCATCCAGCGCAGAGCGGCTCGAATCGTCGACGACCGAGTCCTTTCTGATCGGCTCGATTCATTGGCCACGGGGAGTGCTCTGAGGAATTGTTCGGATTAATCCCAGCCGTCAAATTTCACGAACGCACATCGCGGCAGAACTCCCGATACCATCCACACCATCTGGATGATTGGCGGTCCACCACTGTGCGATTTAGAAGATGTTTTCTTCCTCGCACGACTTCCTTGTGGAATCGATTACCATCAGCGATTTTTCCAGACCGATACAACTTAGGGACCTTCAAGAAAAGAGCCTACTCCTTTTTAAAAGGCCGGCAACGCATGTGCAATTCCCTCCCTGGTGTTGCAGTTGTTCATGGGCGGCGGTAGTCACTTACCATAAGGTGAACCGCATGCTCGTTTGCCCCCTCTCTTATAAAAAAAATATATATGGACCACTACTTATTTATACAACATTGAGGCAACTTTGGATAATTGATTGATCGAAAACACCATATAGAAGTTTGTTTTATCAAATAGTGTATAAAATCCGACGACACTCCAAGTAAACCTAAAATCGAGATGGGCAGGGCAGGATTACAGTATCCGAGTGTATGTCTTCACTTTAATAGTATGATGGGATCCTCACACAACCGCATAAATATCAGGCACATTCTTTCTGTGTTTTCAAAGACACAGAGGTGAAACACCGCCAACTTCTTGCTCCGGGCAGCTCCTGTCATTGAAATTTTTTTGATTGATACTTAGCTATGAAAGGAAACGAGAAGATCTCTCGCCGAACAAGGTGTTTAGCCCGAGAGGCCGCCAACGCTCCGTGTGTTAGTACAGAACTGTTCTATAAATAGCACAGTACTATGAAACTTTGACAGCGTGATTTTAAGCTTCGGTGCATTTTCGCTTAAAGCGCGACAACAGCGTCGCTACATATACGTTTTGTTAGTGTGCAAGCAGCAAGCAAGAGAGTATATGATGGGGTTACCTGGTGGGGCTGGTCTCGCGGCTGCCGGCCAGCGAGCGCGGGATGCCGGACGGGCGGCGCCGCGTCGACAGCGACAGCGGCCCGCTGCGCGACGACGGCGACGACGACCGCGACGTCGCTGCAACCACACGCACGCTACACGCTACACTCAACACCGATAAACATTCAAACTATAACTTAATAACACGGAAAGTTTGGAATGTTGCTCCTTCATTGGATATGTGAATTCACATTTTTAATAGGGAACGACAACCGCGTCACACATTTTTTTTTCAGTTGCCACACCACTTCATTTGTTGACTGGTAGAGAATGCCCGAAGGCATTAAACCGCCTTTTGTATCCCTTTTTTAAGGAGTCGACAATTAAGATTTTAAAATAAAATAAAAAATAATAGTACGTTGTCAAGTTATTTATGTTAGTCCTTCGAGCCGGACTCTTATTTATAATATTTTTATTGTGCTTCAGAATGTATAAAATTGAATATGTAATGTATGTTAAGAAATTAACGTGTCAGGTGTAAATAATGTATGTAATATCCATCTGCGCAGGACAGAATTATAGTGCCCAAAAGTATGCGAAAGAACAGATGCACTCTCTATTTCCTTACTCTCACATTTCGAATGGACAGTAATCCGATACGACCGGAAAAACATCAGGTGCAAAACCAACGACTTTAGGGTAGGTGGAGCACCGGGGTGTTACACCGCCAAATTCCTTGCTGCGGGCCGTTACTGAGAATTTCTTATTAGAAAAACCCAATAACTGATTTAGATCCGACCCGGGATTCGAACCCGGGACCTCAAGGTCACCACTAGACTAAGGAAGCAGTCACGAGTAAATAATTAATTTTGTTTTATAAACAAAATTAAATCAAAAACTACTTTATTGTAGCGCAAAGAAAACAGACGTTCAAAGAGCAATGGCAGAAAAAAAGTTGACAAAAATTATTGCATCTAGAAATAAATTATATATAAAATGAGTTTTATTATTTTTCTATGATTTTTCAAATAAAAATGTATTTTAAATAAAGCCACAGAAAAAACAAACATTTTTGGGGATATCAAATGACTTAAATCATTTTACTCTATTCAAATGTTGCCATTTACTATATTTATACTATTTTCGTATAACTTTGTAAGACTACCAACGCAACACACAAACACAAAATATATTTATATAAAGTTATTATTAGTAATAACTATACTATCAGTAATAAAAGTGATATGGTTGAAAATAAGTCTCTTACAAAGAACTTTCTACAATAATACATTATCTCAATCATAGTACTTTGTAACAATTTCATTTAATGTTATGGCAGCACTAGCTAAAACAAAATGTCACTGTTTTTTTTACTGGCTTTACGGCTCTGGGTTCTAGCCCTTCTGAGAATGTCATTGTATGACACAAAGGCCCTGGACCCATGCCAGAAATAAACATTTATAGTATGCAAATATATAATAGAGATACAATAATGTAAACACTCTCAACTATGTAGGTGGTACATTATGTTGAGAATTTATTAAGCTAACATCAAATAACCACAGGACGCATGACTTTTCAAGTGACAAGACATAACCTAAAAAGGTTCAAATCTAAATATCTTTTTTTTGACGTCTTCTCATGACAAAATACTTTGACAGAGTTATTAAGGGACTGACGCTTAACATTTTAAGATATTTTTGATATATAGACGCTACCATTCCTTCTCAACTAATTTTATGTATGAAAGTCTGCCATTGTTCTTTTAACAATTCGCTGAGTTAATAAAACATAGAACTGATTTTTGTTTAGCCTCAAATCAAATAAATATTTCACAGAATCTAAAAGGATCCATTATCTGGTAATATACCAGACACCAGAAATTACATACTGTAGTGATAATTGATATGAAAAAGTGATTAAAGCCTGCTTTTTAAGTTTAAAAATATTATACTAACGTTGCGACTGCGAGACTCCTGGACGTGAACGTGAACGGGTGACGCTTCGCTCTGGGCTAGGAGGCACCGCCGCACTCACTGGCGACCTCTTGGCACGCGCTAAATATACCAAACAGAGGAAAAAGGAATTAATTTAAAATTGCATTGGTATGATCTTTCATCGGAAAGACTAACCCCAAATAGCTTTCGCTACAAAAATATCTAAATCTAGTTGATCATACATACACGTACGATTTTTTTGTTTTATTACTTTAATTAACAATTATAAAAAAATTTGAAAGCTAAATGAAATAGATTATAATTGAATAATAATAATAAGAACAAGTCACAGAAAAATATGTGTATAAAGTATGTACTCGTACTTGAAAAATAAATACTACACTCTCTAGTAAATGAAGCAATATTGCTATGCACATGAACAACAGCTTGCTATTTTTAAATTAGCGATAACACAAAATTTAAATATAAACGACTCTAGACAACTCACAATAACAAATACAACATAAATGTTATGTAACCGAATTCGAATCAATAGAATATGTTTTAGTTATTTTAGTTAAAGATGAAACTATTTAAAAAGAACTATAAGTCTATAGTATAAGTAATAATAATGCACGAAATGGTTTGTTTTAAGTAAAAAACTGAACTATGAATTTTAGCAATGCATTGAAACAAAAAAAAAAAAACAACTGTTTATGTTTCCTAAATAATGTGTACAAATAGGGATACATAAATTCTTTTCCAGTATCCAAACTTTAGTTTTTCATTTTAAAAGAAACTGCAAATAACTGTTAGGTTTTAGCAGTATAGTATAAGTTTAGATTTGAAATATAAGAGTTATAAAGCATAAATAAGATTGGGCACTAAATACATGGTGTGATTTTAAATGGTCTAATTAAGCAGGTCACACAGTGAACATTGATGACATCAATAATTGTACCTTGTTGAGCGACCTCTCCTTCTTCAGATGTGCAAGTAAATACAACGTAATATTACTATTCTTAAGCAATTATTATATTAAGTCAACATTTAGTTCATTTTTTTCCTTCTTATTATATATATAGTATTTGCCACAATAAAATTGGAAATTTAATATACATTTTCCTAATAATTCGCTTTTCATCATTCATTGAATTGATTAGTTACTATCATTATTAAAATTTCAATTAAAAGTTATTTTTTATAATAAAAAGTAAATAAATAATGCATGTGTTAATAAATTTTAAATAAAGTTGCTGCAATAGTCTTGTTACTCGCCGATATTAAAGTTTTCGATAAAATTTTATCTCAGTCCTGTTTATTTACTAAAACATTAATGCAAATGCGCAATACTGGATGTCTATGAAAATATACGGAATTATAGGATGATATCGGGTATGTTTTGTGGTATGGGGTACCCCATGAATGAAAATTTTAGTTAGGATTGTTAAGCCCGAGAAGTAAGTAAATAGTTTAGTATTAGTCATGACTTTTGGAAAGAAGCTGAAATAAAAGTGATCTTAATATCATAATATGCATTAGTATCTGATTTCATTATCGTCTAAAATTAAATATAAAGTGTGAATACAACAATTTTCAAATAAATACGTTATTTCAATGACAACAAACAATTGGTAAATTATTGTTTTTTATTATATTAAATTTTATATTACATTCTCCTTGTTTCCATTTCAAAAATGACAATATAGTTAACTGTTGATAAATTCCCATTAACACGACTAATTATATGCCGGTTATATGAACTACATTTCATCACGTATATCCCATACACAATTACATAATCGTACATCAAGGCAATTGCTAAATAATCGCGGTATTACTGCGACATCTAACGTTAAAAAACTAAATTTGCTTTTTAGTTCTAGAAAATTCGTTTATAAAAAGGAATATAATCTGTATTTTTAAGATATTACGTTTCGTACTCAAATGAATGGTGAGTGGTCCTTTGTCTTCTATTTTTTACTAGCCAATCACGCGAAAATTATTGAAATGGTGCAGAATTGTCGGTACAAATTTCTTTCTCGTGTGAGTTTGGCGACATAGGTTCTGGTACAAACTATGCGTTTTGCTACTTCCTCTTGTTTTCGATATTCCGTGGTACGCGCGGAAGCCAAACCGGTCTTTTTTATTACGTTGTTATAAAATCAGTAATTTTTTTAAATACCTAATTACAAAACAGTTGAATTTACAATTCGGTCCATGACGGGTTGAATTACCGCTTCAAACCAAATTCAGTTTCTTAATCAATCGACTGCTGGAATATATTATTTTTATATATTCTAAGCCAGTGTTTAACTACAATCTCACCTGATGGTAAGTGGAGATGTAGCCTAAGATGGTGAAGCGCACTGATTTAATAAAAGCCTATTCACTCTTGCCTTGACACTCACACTGTAATCGGATGGAAACATAGATGCCGGCAACGTATTATAATCCTTTTCCATGCACATGATGAACAATGTAGCAAACCGTTTGGTTCGAATGCGTGGTAAGTCAACAACGAAAGGGTGGACACTGGCCGAAGGTCTGGTTGTCCGATGGTGGAAGGGAGAGGGAGGAATTAAATTATGCAATTCATGCGCACACTCTCCAAACTGCATCCTGTAGAAAACTGAAAGGCTGGCTGGCTACTTTGTGTCTGTGTTCGAGGCTGGTAAGATTGGTTTTAACCAAATTCGGGTCACCAGTAAGCCTCTTAGCACGCCTTTCCATTGAGTCCAAAGCTGCTTGGTGGCATTTTGCAACATCAGCCCATATATGACTGTTTATGCCCAAATTTGGTCATGTTTAACGCCAACAAATTGCGTTCGAGCTGGCGCCTCACCCGATTGTATGTAGGTGAGATAAGCGAGGTGTAGTCTGTCGCTCGACGCGTGGGCAGTCGGTAGCTCGACGCGTGGGCAAAACGCCAGCCACGAGGCGTGGAGACCGTCAGGCTCAAAATTCACGGCCCATCGTGGATCTAGATAGCTAGATAAAGTACGTGCTTCTTCGTCACGTAGATATGTGAATTGTGCGATATTTAACTCGGGCGAAAGTGCGGAATAGTGTACGCGCGTCTAGTAGATATACGGTCTAGGATTTGAGCCACGCATTCCTAGTTTGAGAGCTTCTCCCTGTTGATTGTCAAGATATCATTATAATTGTGTGGTCGTGTTTAGTGCCCCTTTTGTGTTTTGGTTGGCTAGTTAGATTAATTCGCGTGTCAACGAGGCGTATTTTTGACTCTGGCGCGACTTGTTGTTCTGGTGTCGAATGAAGGAACTTAGTTGTGTTTAACGCTGATTCTGTCGGGTATCACGTGTTCGATTCTACGATGAATGTGGAATTAGGCGAATTTAAGTTAGTTAAATGTACAATGAAACTAAGAGACTGAATTAGTGACAATGAAGAAAGAAATGGTCCAGCGATCGAGCCTGCGGGAGCGATGCAGCATTTTGGGGCAGCCTGGAACTCGGCCGCTGCTGGTCGCCTAAGCTTGCTCAGGTCGCAGACATTTACACCTCACTGTACACTACTCGCCATCCACTATTACACACACTCACGGCCTGCCCAAGCCTTGGTGCGAAGTTAGCTTCGGATAATGGTAAGTACTATGTGTTTCTAGCTTTCTCCCATATAGTTTATTGTTATAGAACATATTCCACGTGGCCATATTGAGGCCCGAACTACGTCTGCTGGTGAAGTCTCCGCTGATGGGCCCCGGATGATTGAACCTTTGGAGGAGCAGCCGTAGGCCGTAACAATGACAGTAATACTCCATGCACATGAGGATCACCAGTTGATTAGTGGCGTCGACATATCGAGTGATGTAGTTTTTTGGTCATTTGGAAGAGAAGGCCAAATTGGCCTCTAAAAAGCTTGGCGTGCTCAACAGAGCGGGACAGTATTTTATGCCGGCACAACTTTACAAGGCGTAGGATCGGCCGCACATGGAACACTGTTCCCATCTCTGGGCTGGGGCTCCCCAGTGCCAGCTCCTTACATTTGATTGCGTCCAGCGCAGAGCTGTTCGAATCGTCGGCGACCGAACTTTTCCGATCGGCTTGACTCACTGGCACTGCAAAGAGATGTTGCATCTTTTTGTATATTTTATCGCATTTACCACGGAGAGTGCTCTGAGGAATTGTTCGGACTAATTCTAGCCGCACAATTTCACCATCGCACATCGCGACAAAACTCGCGATATCATCCATACCATCTGGATGACTGGCGGTCCATCGCTGTGCCATTTAAAATAAGTTTTCTTCCTCGCACAACTTCTTTGTGGAATCGACTATCACCAGAGATTTTTCCGGACCGATACGACTTAGGGACCTTCAAGAAATTAGTGTACTCGTTTTTAAAAGGCCGGCAACGCATTTGCAATTCCCCTGGTGTTGAAGTTGTTCATGGGCGGCGGTAATCACTTACCATGAGGTGAGTCGTATGCTCAAACGAGCACACGACACACCTTTCCACAACCCCCTTTCTTATAAAAAAAATGTACGACCGAACTTGCGCTTTATATAAAGAAAGAAGCTGTCTTCGTGTGAAGTATCGTCACATCTTGGCAAGGACTCCCAGCTTCCTTGCAGTTGCTTTGGCCTTGGGCTCAGTGAACCGTCTGAAATTCAGATTTGAGGATATCTTAAACCCTAACAACTGAAGGTGGTCGGTATATTTCAGTGATACGTTTTGGAAAGAAGTAGTCAAGGTGAGCTGGTTCCTTTTTGTAGTGAAGGGACACGTTTGTGTTTTGGAGGCGTTGAATTTCACAAGATTGGTATAGCCTCATTCGGAAACTGCCTGTAGTGTGAGATTCATACGCTCTACCATAGCTTCTATTTCGGACTGGATTTGATTCCGACTAGCCCAAGGACTAATATTTAAAGTGTGAAATTTTTAAATATAAGTTTATAGTCGCAAATTTATACATATATGGGACAGCATTTGTGAGTATGAGTGTTTATACGTGTATGCAGGTGCCCGTATATCTGCGCGTACGGACACGATCTCTTTGTCATGTAGCGTGTGAATGTATGTGTATTTTTTTGGATTGATGAAGTACCAGACGTCTAACATCTTTGATGCTATTTCTCGTCGCCAGCCTGGGTATTTGACGTCTGGCATAAACGAGACAGTTATGTCGCTAACTATCAAAAGTTACAAGATTTTTCAAATAATTTCTAGTCTGTTTTTACGATACCCACAGAACCAAATCAATATCAATATTTATTTCAAGGGACCTACTAATACTATTTACTTTATGTAGTGTACGTGGTGACGTGTGTACGCAACGAGTTTGAGTATATGCGTTTGTACATGTATTGGTGTGGTAACGTAGGAGTGGCGGTGATGTGACGCCGTGCGTACGTGCGTACGTATGTAGGTGTACGTGTGCGTGTGCGTGTGCGTGTGGGTGTGGCGCACTCACGCAGGCTGGCGGTGCCGGCGGTGAGCTTGGCGCGCGTCATATGCGAGTAGAGCGCGCGCGCGCGGGCGCGCTGCGCCGCCGCCGCGTCCAGCGCCGACACGCTGCGCGCCGCGCCCGCGCCGCCCGCACCGCCCGACCCGCTGGGGGACCGCTCTGAACACCAAACACAGACCCCTTATTCACACTATATAATACGTGGTAGAACCACGCTGCCCCTACATATATTATGCTTGTGGCACGAATGGCTCGGCTCGACTGAGGTAGGACCACGTTCTCGCACAATACCAACGTAAAATAGAACCTCAATAATGCTTTTTAATTTTTTGAATATATTGTAGAGTTATCTTTATTTATCATACAGTTTTAAATAAACTAAGATTGCACTTTGAAGTGGCGTCACCAAATCTTTAATTTATAATGCAATCCAAATCCAAGATTATCTTGAGGTTTCCGTATTATGTTACTCCATACAATACGGAAGTATTTTTTTTGTTTTATTGATAGAACCACCAAAGGAATAACATGTTGTTTTAAAAAAAAATTTGACAATAGGCTTAGGAACTAAGATTTACATGTTTCCATTTAAAGGTAGTTACAGCATGTTTAAAAAAGACGATAACTGTACGATAACTTAATAATTGTTACAAGTACGAGTAAAATACTAAATAATATAAAACAAACAAACACAATAAGGACAATACGAAATATATGAAAATTAAAAATATATAAAAATAACAACATTTATATCGAGTTTATATAAAGTTATGGTATAATTTTTACTATGAGTTATTAAATAGATTGACAATTTTGGCTCTAAAAGATTTTATACTATCGCTAAATAAGTCAATAGTCTTATCTTTAAGGACACATTCGTTATACAATCTGCTTATTCTCGGTATAAGAGAGTGATGACCAAGATTAGTTTTATACAATTTGTGTTTGAGTAAGGGAATCGAAAAACGCGGTACACGGCAGGGAACTTTGAACAATATTTGTGATAGTAATTCTGCAGAATCTATGGTCCCATTTGTAAGCTTGTACAAAAAAACTAAATCATGTAGTTTACGTCTGTCCGAAAGTGAGTTTAATTTTAGTTTTAGGAGACGAGTGGAATAGGATTCCATATGATTACCACTAGAACAATATTGAGTGAATCGTCTTTGAATGCTTTCTATACGATCTTTGTGTATTTGATAATTAGGGCTCCATATGATGGTACCGTACTCTAATTTACTTCTAACTAAGGAAGTGTAAAGAAGATTTTTTGTTTTGATTTTTTTAAAACATTATGAATTTCTGTATAAAAACCCGAGCATTTTGCGTGCCGATCTACAAATATTTTCAATGTGAATATTAAATCTTAATTTAGCATCAATTGTAATTCCTAAGTCTCGGATGGATTCAAGCTTCTGAAGTAGATTATTGTTCAACGTGTATTGGGTTTCTGATGCAGTATGCTTACGCGTAAAGTTGATATATGAACATTTAGAAGCGTTGAGATCCATGCCATTTAACTTGCTCCAACGAGCAATTCTATCGACATCTTCTTGTAAGATTGTGCATCATGATCGTTAAGAATTGCTTTTGCGAGTTTCAGATCGTCCGCAAAGATGAAACATTTTGAATTATGTACACAATTAGTTACATCATTTACGAAAATATTAAATAATAAGGGTCCTAATATGGATCCCTGAGGTACTCCCGAGGTGCACCCATATTTCTGAGAAAAGAGGCCTCTGATCACTACGTATGAAAATCTGTCTCTTAAATATGAAGCAAACCACGAAAGTAGTGGCCCTCCGATTCCGAACGATGATAGTTTCGCTATTAACAACTGGTGATTCACCCTGTCGAAGGCTTTGGAAAAATCGGTGTAGATAGCATATACTTGAAAACGTGAGTCGACGTAGGGTGTTATATAATTCAAAAAACATGAAAGGTTTGTGACAGTAGATCGAGATGTCATAAATCCGTGTTGGGTGTCTGAGATAGCGTGGCGAACATGGCGTGACAATATAGGCAAGATCAAGGACTCGAAGATCTTAGAGAAAACCGATAATATTGATATGGGTCTGTAGTTGGCAATATTATCTCGATTACCTTTTTTGTACACAGGCACTATTCTTGCAAGTTTCCACATATCTGGGAAGACCCCGGTACTGAGGGATGTATTAAAGATAATACAGATAGGCAAAGACAACTCTTTAGCACACTTCTTAATAAACGATGAAGGAAGATCGTCGGGTCCAGCACCTTTCTTTGCGTCAAGTCTTTTTATTTTTTTTATTACTTTCTTAACATTGATGTTTATTAAACAGAGATTGTTTTCGGTAACTATTTGTAGGGGAATGTTTCAAAGTAATCAAATAAATCAAAATTTAGTGATTTATAAGAAATTTTGCGTGGGCGAAGTCGTAAAATTCCCTATTCATAATAGCTCTTTGTTATTTTATAGTGTTAGGATTCTGTAACGACACAATTATTTTGGTCGATCGAAGAGTAGTCTTGTTTGCAATGAACTTTGACTTTTAGAATAGACAAGTTTTCATTCATTTCTACTTTCTGTTTTTATGTTACTCTTTTCTATTTACATTTTCTGTCTCTCGTTTAAATCATGTTTAGACAAAACCATATATATATTAAAGATAAAATAAAGTCATGATTAAACAAAAATGCTTTAAAGCTTTTGGAACTCATATCTAAAAGTCAATCGAAAATCATTCAATTCGCACTAGACACTAAGTATAACATGAAAAAATATTTGTTGACACTTTAATCAATAAATACTTGAAGAATATTAGGACACTTCAACTAACTAGGAACTGTGCTCTTAACACACATTCTTGACATTAACGTTTTCGTATCGATATCGACTAAATTTATATGGAAATATGAACAGCGCCCCTGACAGTTGTCAATGGAACTATTTTGACCATAAAATATCACTTGATGACGATACGAATTTAATACAATCGAAAACTCGTGCACAGGGGTACATCATTCTCACTTGTTATCTTCTTTTTAAAGGAGGTGAAGTATATAAATACCTTATAACCTGTGTTTTTTTCGGCCCAACTAAAAGTAATTTATTAAATATGAAATACCACTTTAAAATATTAATTGACCTCTCATTGCTACAGGAATGTGTGATATCGGAGGCCTCTCTTGTGAAGCGCGGCGTCGTCGAAGTGAGTTGCTCCTACTCACACCGGATACAAGGTTTTCCGTTGAAGCTTTAAATTATGTATTTATCAGTAATTGAAAAGTTTATTCAAACCCAAACAAGTCCGTTAAGGAAGCGTGGAAAGAAAATATCAAAAGGTCAATAAATAATCACCTTTAAAATTTACAATATTCATTTTATTTTTATTATTTAGAGAACTGACTTACCTGAAACGCTCGCCGACGGACTTCTCGGACTGGTTAGTGCTCTCCTTTCTAAAATAAAAGTTATGTGTACATAAGTGCTAAGAAAATTCTACTTATTATAACAGTTTATATATTTTTTATTTTTGTCAGTAGTATTAATCTGATTTTCTCTCCTCGATTTAGTTCTCGATTTTGCAAGGGTTGAGAAATGAGCATTTGATTCTTCATTCCCGATATATAATGAAAAAATGGCTAATTGTCATCAGGTGTGCTGTGTGATTTTGGCAGCCTTACTTTCATGCATGAGATATATAATAATAGATGCGAGGATAAATCCTTTGAACCTTCCACACCAAATTTTTTAATTTTATTTTTACTTATGAATAGTTTGTAAGACAATAACTTCATAATGACAAATTAAATGCTGAAATACTATTTAAAATGAATCGATATATTTTTAATCATTTTAATTAAAATTTTTAATAATCATCTTCCCGATTGTCATTTGTGGACATGGCCTCAACCAAGTTGATAGGATTTGCAACCGCAACATTTAGCAAATGTATTGGTGATAATGATTTTTTACTCATATCATATTAACTTTTTATACGTGGTAGAGCCATGCTGCAACTACATTATGGTTGTAGCACGAATGGGTCGGCTCGACCGGGGAAGGACCACGCTCTCACAGAATACCAGCGTAAAATAGCAGCTTAACGCTGTTGTATTTCGTATGGTGAGTGTAGAGAACCGGAGACCCTTTTTACTGGAAACGGGGCATTCCATCTTAGCCCTCACGGGTGACAACGCATCTGCATTTTGATTCGTAATTGAAGATAGCTGTGGATGTCTATAGGTCACAGCAACCACTTACCATCAGATGTACTGTGTGCTCATTTGTCACCCTTATCCTATAAAAAAAAATAACTATAATAATGGTGTTTAGTCAAACATTCGTGGTCCAGGAAAAACAGCATAAATTCATATGGGTTCCAAGCCCTATATTTAATATTTAATAATAAAAGATTATTTTGGTACTGCATAATAATTTTTGTATTCTCTAAATTTACTAACCCCCTAGTTTTAAATGGATTTATTTACCTGAATAGTAAATAATTAAATTCTGTTTGGTACTAAACTAACAGAATTAGGTATATTGAGGAGCTTTTTTTTATAAAACTGAAGTGATAAACAAACTTACTGTTCACCTATGTGTGCGTAAGTAAGTGGCTTATGTATTCCATGCCTGCAACCAACTACAAAATAAGAAGGCTAGAGATGTATTGTCACCTCTTAACACTAAAATTGAATGCCTCACAGCCTGTACTAGACTAGACTGACTCTCTACTCTACTGGAACACAGCATTGCAAACACTACTATTTAGAGACAGAAAAGGACCTCTAAACCAAGAAGCAGTTATGCACTTCATGTTCACTTGTTTCTAAGTGTGACGGTTACGGCAAGTGCTACCTTCATAGGGGAGACTCGTGTCTAATAATGGACTATGTTCGAGGTGCTAAGGTTACTACTTGCAACCGTGTAAGAGCAAGTTAAATGTGGTATGGTGAGCAATAATAGACTTTATTACTGACCATGAGGTATTTATTTCCTTTAAGTTCTCAAGGGTGTGAAGAAACTATTTCCATGAATACAGTGTTCCACTTACAGCACCATACGCTTACTCAAATTTAAAAGGGATAAAATGAGGTCTAAAATTGCATTTAATAAAAGTACAGAATAATAAAAAGCTTTAATAGATATTATTTAATACATTTATAAGATATTTAACAACAAATAAATATATAATATCTACACATATATATTTATTTTAAATAAATCTACTAATATGAGAAATGTTATTATAACATATAATATAACCAGAAATGATACATACAAAACAAGGCTTAAGTTATTTAATCATAAATAAATATTTTGTTAATTTTTTTTTAATCTACATATTTATCACTCTTTACAAAATATCATACAATTCGAGTCTATAATAAAAAAAATCTAAAATTAAATATAGTTGATAAAAATGGGTCAAAAATCAAAACATAAATATAAAAAATAAACTTATCAAAAATAAGTACATAAAATATGGTTGGAACATGCACAATTTCGGACCACATAGCTTTTTTTTACTCTTCAATGTACAGAGCTGTTTTAAGAGCAACCTCAATAAAAGGCATTTCTAAATAGTTTACAGACTGATGCTGGCGATATTCTTTTAGAAAAATTACAACATTAGCATGTGTATAAAATAAAATCTTTAGAACAAAAGTAAAAATTACTTAAGAAGGAATGTAAATGGAATGTTTTGTATTTTACCTGGGATGATAGTTTTTTTTTAAATATGTTGTCTGTCTCTATAAAATATATAGATATAAAGAGAACAGTGTATACCAGTTGTATACATTTATTAAATGAACGAATGAGTTTGGCACAATAAAAATACGAGTATAGCAATCGTCGATCCAGGGGAATTGATATCATATTGTTGTACTTCTTTGATTACTATTTTGCATAGGTGATAATTACAGAATGCATTCTATTTGTACGTGACACACACACATTTTACACTAGCACTAATCATGCATAACTTTACATATAAAACAAATTGTTAATAGAACCCTTACTAACCCGTGCCGATATGTTGCAAGCTATCCACACTGCCGATCCTCTCACGTTCGATCTGCTTTTGTGCTCCGGGGTCCAGACGAGCGAACAGTTGCTCCGCATCCTCTGGGAAGTGACGTTTGTATGCCCAATACGCTCTGTGTGTAACAATAATTATCACTTTTAGTTTTTTTTTAAATTATATATTAATAAGAAGGGACGTAGGAACATTCATTTATTTAAAATTCATTACAGTCCATCAAAAGTCCACTGCTGAACATAGCTTATGCCTATAGACAGTTCTTTTTTTTTTCGCGTTTTTTTAATATTAATTGAGTAGTGGACAGGCATATGGTACGTGGTAGATCCACGCTGTAGCTATATTATGGTTGTAGACGAGCAGGTCGGCTCGAAAGAATACCAGCGTAATTTTCCATTCTAATCCTCAGGGATGACAACGTACTTTGATTTGATGATGCATTTTGATTCTTAATTAAGGATAAATGTAGATGTCCTTAGGCGACAGCATCCAATTACCATCAGGTAGACAGTGTGCTCGTTTGTCACACTTATTCTATAATAAAGGCGTATGCTGCTGTTTATCTCTTGTTTTCGTTTGCCATTGTTGTCACCTTTTACGACACCCACAGGATAATACGGAGTATGTGAAGCATTATTATTTGTTTATCAAGAATATTAAATCTCATAATTTATTTAAATTATTAAATTGAGAATGATTTTGTCAAAAGGAAACATCACTTTATCTAAGGCCCGTATTAATAAACGTTACTCAGCTCAAGTACACGCACTTGAGTACAATATTGAGGTTATGATCTTATTAATAAACATATCTCAAGATGCGGTTTAGGTTTACGACATCAGCTAAGCGCCACACTGATTAATAAACGAAACTCGACTCTCAAATGTGTGTACTTGAGTGTAAGTCACAGAACAGTATTCCTAAGTACAGTGTTTTGAGATACTGCTTTTATATGTTTATTAATTAGCAACGAAGCAACGATCTTGAGATGCTGATATCGCGATGAGGGCGTATCAAATGATTAAGCACTTGAGTTCGTCGTTGAGTAACGTTTATTAAAACGGGCCTAAGGGTTGGTTGGAAGATGATATCGCATGAAATTGACACTGATAACTACAGGATTGTTACACCCAACAACAAACTTCAATACTCAATGTGCAAAGAAGTTGTCGAAATTGTCTACACGCATGAAATTTCTAACAAATATTTGGTTCCGCCAAGATTTTTTAATACTGCTTCTTTTATAAGTTTGCATTGTAGGAGTTATTAAAGTATAGCATGGCAGCTGCTACTACAATGTGTTATTAATGTATTGAAGCAGCTGGCACTGGGGCGCCCCGGCCCAGAGATGAGAACAGTATTCCATGTGAGGCCGAACTTGCGCTTTGTAAATTTGCAAGCGATGTGCCGGCATGAAAAACTGTCTCGCTCTGCTGAGCACGCCACGTTTTTTAAAGGCCAATTTGGCCTTCCCTTCCAAGTGACCACGTGCGTTTGTGTGGTGTTACGTGCAGTTTGCACACTATTAGATATGTCGACGCCAAGGATACCGATGCTAGCTGAGGCAGCAAGGGAAGTGCCTTGAAACTGAGGAGATACGACAAAGACTTATTTTTAGCGGTAAACGCGCAAACTTGTCTTCTGGGGATTGAACTGGACTAGATTTAGTCGGATTAGATCTTTGTGGAACACCAGCGTTGATAAGCTTGAAATCAGAGCATGCGCCGTCTACTACGACCTTGATGCTCCGATCAGCAAGGAAACTGGTGATCCATTTGCACAATTTCTCGGGAAGCTCATAGGAAGGAAGCTTCGAAAGAAACGCTTTGTGCCAGACCCGATCGAAGGCCTTCGCTATGTCCAAACTAACGGCCAATGCCTCCCCCTTGGACTCTACTGCTTCCGCCCATCTATGAGTTAAGTAGACCAGAAGATCACCAGCTGATCGACCCCGACGAAAACCGTACTGGCGGTCACTAATCAGCTGGTGATTCTTAAGGTACCTCATGAGCTGGCAGTTTATAATGGATTCCATTATGTTGGAGAACAAGGAGGTGATGGCGATAGGCCTGTAGTTGGACGGGTCTGAGCGTTCGCCTTTTTTAGGGATTGGGTGGAACAAAGCTGTCTTCCATGAATTCGGGACTACGCCTTGGGAGTAGGAGTACCGGATAAGACGCGTTAAAACCGGTGCCAACTCCTGAGCACACGCCTTCAGCACAATGGTAGGGACTCCATCGAGCCCACTCGACTTGCTGACGTCTAGGGAGAAGAGTGCTTTGCGAAGTAAGCGCTTTGTAAACAGCACATCCAGCATGGAGCACTCACATCGCGAGATGGACGGCGGTGTATTCCCCCGTCATCATCGTCAGTCGAGTTGGATGCAAAGAGAGAGCTCAACAGATAAGCTTTTTCTTTTGCGGCATGGGCCAGTGAGTCGTCCTCTCTGTGGAGAGATGGAAGAGATGGCTGACAGAAGTTCCCTTGAACAGCCTTGGCGGGAGAACAGAATGCACGGGTTCCCGAAGGAAGGCGAATTAGCTTCTCGCCAATTATGCCGATGTGCTCAGACCTTGCCTTGGCAATGACGCTTTTGAAGGACCTGGAGGCGGAATTATACTTCTTTTTAAGTGCGCTGGTGTTTACATCCCGAGACATTGATGCGTCAGCCCAGGCCCGGTAGCACTCCTGCTTATAGCGTGATGCTATTTTACAGGAGAGACCAAACCATGGCTGGGATCTGCCTCCGATGGATACCACAGAGGATGGAATAAAAAGTACCAACAACAAGTAACAAATTACCAAGTAACAAAATAAGAAATACTCAACACGCAAGATATTAGATGTGCCACAGAGTAATATAGATTATATTTTTATACAATATAAAATAAAAGGCAAAGGCACTACTAACATACAGCCTCATGATACATTAAACATATTATATAATAATGTATTGTATGAGCGACACCTGCGCGCGTTGTTGTGGGCGACACTGTCGGCGTTACGCACGGCCGCCTGCTGCTGCAGCACGACGCTGCACTCACTCACTCACTCACTCGCTCGCTCGCTCGCTCGCTCGCTCACACACACACACACACACACGCACACGCACACACACACACACACACACACACACACACACACACACACACACACACACAGTTACCTGCGCGCGTTGGTGCGGGCGACACTGTCGGCGTCGGCGCAGGCGCGGCGGATGGCGTCGCGCACGGCCGCCTGCTGCTTCTCCAGCGCGCCGCCGCTCCACCGCTGCAGCACCTCGCTGCACGCACACACGCACGCACGCACGCACGCACACACACACACACACACACACACACACACACAGTTACCTGCGCGCGTTGGTGCGGGCGACACTGTCGGCGTCGGCGCAGGCGCGGCGGATGGCGTCGCGCACGGCCGCCTGCTGCTTCTCCAGCGCGCCGCCGCTCCACCGCTGCAGCACCTCGCTGCACGCACACACGCACGCACGCACGCACGCACACACACACACACACACACACACGCACACGCACACGCACACACACACACACACACACACACACACACACACACACACACACACACACACACACACACACACACACACACACACACACACAGTTACCTGCGCGCGTTGGTGCGGGCGACACTGTCGGCGTCGGCGCAGGCGCGGCGGATGGCGTCGCGCACGGCCGCCTGCTGCTTCTCCAGCGCGCCGCCGCTCCACCGCTCCAGCACCAGCACCAGCACCTCGCTGCACGCACACATTTGATTATTTAATAATATGCTAGTTAAAATATTACTCCGCCCTACACTTCGTCTACCGGGCAAGGCTGCCACTCGAGAACCTTTCTTCCACATCGGTTGTCGGTACTTCGAGCTACATGGTCGGTCCATTGCCACTTCAGCTTACTAATCCGTAGAGCTATGTCAGTTACTCTGGTTGTACTGTAGATATTTTCATTTTTAAATCTATAAAGCAGAGAAATCCTAAGCATAGTCCTCTCCATAGCTCGCTGAACGGCCTTAAGCTTTTTCATACGGCCAGCAGTGAAATACCACGTATCAGATCCATGAGTCATCAGTGGCAACACGCATTGGTTATATAATTTTATTTAGAAGTTGACATGAGTAATGGAGTGACAACATAGTTAGACATACAGAAAGTTGATGGATGCAGGTAGCTTAAAACCATGCCAAGCAACATAGGTCTCCCTCAAGGAATGTCACAAAACATTCCTTGAGGGAGGCCTATATTCAGCAGTAGACTATCCAATATTACTCGATATCATGAGACTACAGAGAAAAGTGAAACTGAAGATAGGCAAAAGCATCTTCCTAATAACAAATCAAAATTATCAAAACTGCAGTTGTCAACCCGCCTGCAAAGCGTACCAACTGTGGCAAGATCTTCCCTATAAAGCAATCTATTCTCCATTTCGTGGGGGGTCGCCCTACACTTCGCCTACCGGTACGAGGCTGCCACTCGAGAACCTTTCTTCCCCATCGGTTGTCGGTTCTTCGAGCCATATGGTCGGCCCACTGCCACTTCAGCTTACTAATCCGTTGGGGTATGTCGGTTACTCTGGTTCTACTGCGGATATCCTTACTTCTAAGTTTATCACGCATAGAAACCCCGAGCATAGCCCTCTCCATAGCTCGCCCTCATACGGCCAGCAGTGAAGGACGCGCGTTACGAAGGTTGGGGGACTTGACGAGGAAGAGGCCAGCAAAGTCTGTTCCGACTCCAGCGAATGGTCGGATGGCCCTGATGCGGTCGGATGGTGGCCTTCAGTTTATAACAAGGTATGCACATAAAGAAGACGCTCCGAATGGTGCGTCGGCCAGCCAAAATCCAAAACTCCCGCTGCAAAATAGCCGAAAGAGCGTTACACCCAGCGTGGGCATTCTTAATATGATGGTGAGTTACCAGCAACCGAACAAAGGCGCCGTCCTTAGGGAGTAGTAACGGGTATCGAGTCCCGTACGGCAGTTGAGAATTTTTCAAACGTCCGCCAACGTGCAGCATACCAGCGTCGTCCAGGAAGAGGTTCAGACGGGCCAGAGCGCCCTTGACAACGGAGCCTCGCTTCAAGGTTTCAATCACGGGCTCAAAATGCTCCACTTGGACCATACGAGTCCAAAGCATCAAAGCTTCCCGACGCTCGCTAGGGGACAAAACGGAATCAGAGATTCGGTTGGACCGGTCTCTCGAATTGCGGACAAATCGACGCAACAAAGCAGTCACTCCTAAGAGCTTATCGGGACAGCTGTACCGTTCTAGCAGGGAGAAATCCCGAGTGGGATCCACTCCTACTCAGGCTCGTAGGCCAGGCAATTCAATCGGTTCGGAGTATTTATTCTGGGGCCAGAATGACTGAGACTCAGTCAACCAACTGGGACCCCACCACAGCGGGTGGTCAACCAAAGAGAGGGCTCCACAGCCGCGAGAAGCGCAGTCTGCGGGATTCAACTCCCCTGGGACATGTCTTTAGTTTAGAGACGTCCCAGAATTCTGCATTTGAGACACGCGGTTCGCCACAAAGACCTCAAGATTGTGAGGTGCAGCTCTGAGCCAACAAAGTACTATCTCACTGTCCGACCACGCGTAGACATCCGTAAGGTCGATTACAGACTTCAAAGACGAGTGAACATGGTTGAGGAGTCGCGAGAGAAGAGCGCCTCCGGACAGTTCCAATTTAGGGATAGTTAAGCGGGACCTAATGGGAGCAACCTTGCTTTTAGCAAGTACGGGATGGACTGAAGTATGGCCAGAAGAGCTCACAGTCCGCAAATATACGACAGCAGCATAGCCCTTCTCAGAGGCGTCGCAAAATCCATGTAGGGTAGCCCTGCATTTCCCTGGAGGGAGGAAGCACCTTGGCATGGAGACCCGGTTGATGTCCGGAAGGGAGGACACAATGAAGTGCGAATCTCGCAAGAGAGCGCCGCTAATAGGCTCGTCCCAACCCAGCCCGGATATCCAGAGCTTTTGAAGAAAGCACTTAGCCAAAAAAATGACCGGAGTGATCCATCCATTAGGATCGAAGGTGAGGGCTACTGTAGACAGCACGGAGCGCTTGGTCCATGCTTTAGGAGGGGGATCGAGTTTGACTTGATACGGCTGATATTGAATGCCCAGCATAGTCAACAAATTAGGATTTTCAGGGTGCTCGAATAGATGAGGGTCTTGTTGATCCTCTCCTGGGAGATCCTTCAAAATATGAGGGGAGTTCGACAATCATTTGCGCAACTCATAACCTCCGGACTTCAGGATGGCAATCAATTCGTCTCGCAATACAAGAGCCTCCTCGACGGTGGAGGCGCCCGTGCAAATGTCGTCCATGTAGACCGAAGTCTTCAAAATAGAAGCCCGCCGAGCGTATCTTAGACGCTCTCGCTCAGCGAGTTCAAGGAGGGTTCGCATGGCGATATACGGGCTGGACCGGAGTCCATAGGTGGTAGTGTTCAACTCAAACACCTGTATCAGATCGCTGGGCTTCTCGCGCCACAATATCAGCTGATATCGACAGTCATCACGATGGACCACTGAATGTCGAAACATCATCCGAATGTCGGCTACAAAAACCACTTGGTGCCGACGGAAGTGGGTCAAAATGTCGGATATGTCCTTGATCAATTTAGGACCAGAGTGGAGACACTGGTTCAGGGACACACCATTTGACGAGGGGGCGGAGCCGTCAAAACCTACCAGAATCTTACTCCCAGGGGTCCTCAAGACCGCATGGTGAGGGAGTCCTCAAGACCGCATAGTGCTCCTGTGACCGCCAGTCGAAGTTGGACGGTGACATATGACCCACCTCTTGATACTCGCGCATGAACTCGACATATTTGTCGAGAAAGGCTGGGTCGCGCCGCATACGGCGCTCCATGGAAAGCAACCTCTTTTCGGCCAGGGTACGAGATTGGCCCAAAGAGGGCCGTGAGTCAAGAAAGGGTAAGCGAGTCACAAAACGACCGTCGACACGACGGCCGGTATTGTTCTGATAGAACAACTCGCACTCACGGTCCAGTGGGTTGACTCGAGCCGCGTGTGGTGGCTCCTCAATTTCCCAGAACCGCTGGACGACGTCCGAAAGGGACACGCCCACAACAGAGAGTGGGTCGGCCGTCTGAGGTGGAGACCACAGAACCGGTCCAAAGAGACTGTGCCCAAACACAGTGGACATGGCTGACAAGCCATCGGGCTGTAGGGCTCGTATCTCGCCTAACAAGATGAACCCCAGCGCGTCGGCCCCCAGCAACAAATCTATAGGCCCAGGTTGGGACCATTGAGGGTTTGCCGGTCTCAAACCCGACGCACAACGAACCGCGCTGTCATTTATACGGACGTTAGGAAGAAAGCCTACAATGTCATCGAGGACATTTACCTTAACTAGAATGTGAAGGTGTTCGCTGGCAGGGCCAAACAACTCCGCTTGTCCCCTAGGAGCAGGAGGCTCGGTACCTCCGATACCTACCATTGGACGTGATTCAGAGCTCCAGGGGAGCCCTAGTATTCCCACCAACCAAGTGGAGGCCACACAGCGTTGTGAACCCGAATCCAATAGAGCGCGAACCGTTAAACAGTCGCCACTCGGGTTGTACACCTTCACTGAGGCCGTCGGCAATAGAACAGTTTGACAAGTGGACTGTTGACGGCTCAAAAGGTCAGGCGGCCGTGGTGGGAACTAGGGCGGCAGTTACCTAGCTGGAGCTGCCTCCATCGGACCGGCACTCGAACCGGGGGTCCCGAAAGCGGCATTCCGGAGGCATCGCAATGACCCGAGGTTGGAAATCACCAAATGGGCCGACATGGGGAGCTTCGGGGAACATCGGCTTTGAGGCCCGGGACAGATTCGAGGTCGCAGGAACCCCGTAGTACCGGTACCGACCAAAGGGGGGAGGGTGGCGCTCCAGTCGCGGCCACTCAGCCAACGGGGGGAGAACGGTCTAGCTGACCGCTGAGTGGCCGTGAAGTTCCTCTCAACACGCTGAGGGGGGGGCGACGACCCCCGCGCCCCTGGGGGAACGACCCCCCGACTGGTCGGGGAGGGACCCCCTTCAAACCCAGGGGCACGGTGGCCGGCAGGCGAGCGCCGAGCATCGCCCGACAGAGGGCGTGGCTGAGCGCCCCCGCCCGTAGGAGTTGAGGGCCCGGCAGAGCCTCGAGAGGAAGCGCCGTTTGCACCCAGGCACAAAACGGCATGGTGGTTGCCCTGGCAGTGCGGACAGGGCCGCTGGTGCGGGCAGTCTCGTTGGAGGTGCCTTTCCAAGCACGAGTAGCACCAGCGGCGCTCCTTAGCAATGGTTCGCCTCGCCGGGACCGGCTTACCCAACAAATTCGGGCACGACGTCACCCGGTGATCGGATGCTCGACAATAAGAGCAGGGGGGCGCCTCCCTGGCCGCTAGGCCGCTATAAGATGGTAGGGGGCGGCACCCTCCCGCGGGAGCTCCGCTTGGCCTTAGGGAGGTTGGCGACGACTTACCCGGCGGATTCCGCCTCTCCCTGGGCACGGCTCTGTTGGCAACCCATAGGTTGTCGACGGTGCCCGCTGTGTTCTCAATCTGCCGGCACTGCTCCTCCAAGAACCGCAGCAGGTCTCTGAAGGGCGGAATATAGGAGGCGCCGTCCTCTCCTCAAAATGGATTCGAAGGTCGAGAGGCAGGCGGGACAGAACGATATGGAGCAACAAGGACCATTCGTCCACCGGTAAATCCAGCCGCCTCAACGAATTACAGGCCACTAAGACTGGATTTACGATGTCCGGACGTAATCTGGCCCGGTCCCTAAGCAGCGGGAGGTTTAGGAGCTGCCTAACGTATTCGTCCGCAATTCGCGTTTCGGACGTTGGCGTACCTTCCTGCGAGGAGGTCCCGGGCATTCTGATAGGCGTCGTCCGACAATTTCAAATGGCCGAAGACGCTCAGGGCCTCCCCCTCCAGTGAGGCCAGTAGGAACGCCATGTTCTGGATTGGTGTCAAGTCCCTCCGAGCGTCCACTAGGCTATCAAAAAGTCCAACAAAGGTCAGCCAGTCGGAGAGGACCCCGGAGAACCTTGGCAGGTCCAGTAGGCTGCTTCCGAGGGGACTCAGGCAGGCCACTCAGTCGCCCCCCCGAACGGGTTCCCGCATTGTCGTGGCAGGGGGGCTTAGTAGCCGTGGCCACGACTTAAACGCCGATCCGCTAACAAAACAAAAAAAAAAACAAATAAAAGGAAATAAAAATTTATTACGTACGTACGTATTTATCACCTACTATTTTTATTTATAATACGGTCGGGCGTGATTGGAGCAACAATCAACCACGCTACCAGAAAATGTTACGGCCCTCCGTTGCCCCGGCAGAAGTCGACTGGGCTAGGGCGCATAGTAGCACACTCGACGGGCAAAAGAGGGTTCGGGCCCGAATGGCCTATGGATAATTATTATACTGGCTGGATAAACAAACATGAACTTACCGAGTTCCGGAGGTAGGGTCGACCACAAGGCGCCGTCAGGGGCAAGTGGGTGGTATGTAAGTGTAAATGTAGTAGTGTGTAAGTGTAACCTGACTTAACCGATGTAATCGGCCAGCAGCCCACATGCGCTGTTCGGCTACACAAATTCGATCACTCCAATGGCGTTCACCAATTAGACTTTCTGCTTCTATTTCACTATAGTAGTTTATCAACTTTATTGTACATTTAATTAACTTCAAATTTAACTAAATCAACGTTAATCGAACTTAAAACAAGTGAAACACTGCACAACTTAAGAACTGTCGGTCAAAGTTCAATATCCCATGTTCACTTAGCACAAAATTATAATAGAATACGAACGCGACCTTCTCTCGGGTCACAAAGTTTTAGCGTTCCAACCGACAAAGCAAAAATGTCTTATTACGATATTAAATGCCACACAAACAACTCGTCGACGCAAATTAATTAATGCAATCGAAGTTAAATTAATAACTCAAAACTCAAGGATAAGCCTCGTTATCACTTATACGAACGAAATAAGACAACACAATAAGAGGAATTAAGATAATGAACCCAACTTCAATAAAAAATATATTTATTTATCTTGACAGAGTTACAGTAAGAAGTTTATTACTACAATATTCGATTTTAAATGATTACAATTGTCTATTTATACTTAAGTTATATGCTACAAAACTATTTACTAAGCTTATTTACTGCATACGTTTGACCCAGATGGGATTGCTGATGATGTGCGAACGAATGAGATTTGGCAGGGGTGCTCAGCCTTAACTCCTCCCCCCTCAAGAGAGAAATTATCCGAATGTGGCTCAAGCGACTTCGGAGAATTTCGACAACATGATTTGAATTTAATTAAAATGCTACATACTATACAGATTACTATAATGAGATATAAACTTATGGTCCATACACTGATTTCACTTGTTACTAAGAATTTTGTATTTATTTCGTTATCACTGAATTTAGCACTATTTATTAGTTCTTTTATATCACTGAAGTCCACGTTTCTTAAATCTAACTGTTTTGCTTCTTTCTTGATGTCATCCTCTCGTACAGTTGGCATCTCGATTGTGGGAAGCTGAAGTTTGATATTCGCAAAGTACCTCGGAGCGTTGATGAATGTGTCTCCAACCTGTGTTCTGCATTCTTGATTAGGTATCATGATATATGTGCCTTGCACTTGGTATTTTTGTACATGTTCTGGACAGTGTTCAGTTATTATCAAGTCCTTAGTGGTATACAGTAACCAATAGTTCTTGAAGATCCTCTGGATTTTCAAATTCTCCAATCGTATATTATGTTGCTGGCAGCTACTGTGGTTGGTTTTCATCTGCATTATTTGCTCAATACATGTTTCAGCTGGATACTCTGCGAGACTTTCCTCTGGGCATAAGAACTTTTCATCGTCGATTTCTTCACAGGGACTCACCGCTGATCGGTATTTCAATCTTTTCACCAATAGGAAAGGATATGATGGGATTATGATATGGGTAACATCGGAATTAGATATTGGAATTGGTATTATTTTGTAGTATGTGTATATGTCTGGTTCAGTTAATGGGATATCTAATACAAAAACTAAGTTATTCCTATTGACATACGATTTAACTACTATATTTCTTTCTAACTTAATTAAATTTTCCTTATTTGCTGGGTAAATCAATTTGGCATATTTTTCTATATTTATTAACATATTTAATAGTTCTGTTGAATTTATGATTGATTGATGTAAAGTATGTAATTTACTAAAAGCAATAGCTGTTTCTATTTCTTGTATTACATCTAAAATTGTTCGAAAATTGTTCGAAATTTGATATAAAGTATTTAATATTGTTACAATATTTTTTTAGAGACCTTTCCTTATAAAGTATAGAATCTATTTCCTGATTTTGTAAACGATTGACATTCGAATTTATGTCTTCCGACGCATTAACAAGCTTGTTAAATGCTTGTTGTAGCAAAGTGACTCGGTGTTCGACCAAATGTTCTCTATTATTCACCTGACTTATTTGTGAGTCGAAGTGCCTAGCGTCTTCTTCGTCTAAGTTACCTGAGATAACTTTAACTAAGGAACCTAAAGGACTAAATATGGCTCGTTTACTTATTTTAGATATAGGTAAAATCTGATGTATTTTATTATTTGTTAAATCTATGGATGTTTCTATTTGCTTAATTAACCCCCAAAATTCATCTCCAACTTCACTATTATTACTAATAATCTTACTTACGCAATTATATTGTTCAGTATTAATATCTATTTGTTCAACTACCAACTTTAAATCTAATGTTTTCAAAATGGTCCACGAGTTATTCCTGATCACTGCCATCCCAACTTTCAGAGGAGCTATCCCCGGATTGGTGTTCAGGTTCTGTAGATCTAGGCCGTTGGACAGTTTTGCCAATGCCAGAAGTACTAGCCACGACCTGTGGAGGACGTTTAATATTTTTTATAGCTACTCTAGTTTGTCTCTTATTAAGTTTAACGGGTATTATATTATGATCCGGTTTCCCTATGACTTTGGCTTTTTCAAAACGTGGCTTATCTTTTGCTTTTCTTGTCCTAGTAGTTTTCATAAAAATATCGTCCCCTTCTTTAATTTCTGGGACTTCCTCACCTCCTCTTTTTTCTCTAACCTTAATCTTATCTGTCTGTAATTTCTCGGCTACATATTCATAAAGAACTTTAAGACGTTTTCTATGATCTTGTAAGAGCTTTTGCATCAAATTACGTTCCCTATCTATATCGAAGACGTTACCTGAAACGGTGGTACCGAAAACAATTTCAAATGGTGTAAAGGTTGTTGCGGAATGAATACTATTATTATAAGCCATTATCGCATATGTCATCACAGAGCAGGCATCAAGATCTGTCTTATCGTACTTAGCTAATCTATATATTTCGTTAATGGTGGAGTGGAATCTTTCAACTATTGCCATGGAACTAGGGTTATTTGGTGTTCCTATGTGAAGCTCTATTTTATAAAGATTTAAAAGTTCTTTTATTAATTCGTTATTAAATTCTGTACCCGAGTCGCTATTTATTTTCTGTGGTAAACCATACATACTAAAGTATTTAATTAAGGCTCTTACAACTTCAGGGGTACTGCGATTTGGGATGTTTATCGCTTGCCCTAACTTACTGAAAGCATCAACAATTGTCAAATAATATTTACTTTCTATGAATAGCAGATCTATGAAAACTTCTTGGAACGGTGTGCTTTGACTCTGTGTTAATTGAATATGAGGTTTTATAGGTTTCCTTTCATATTTCATCTTTTTGCATTGTTGGCAAGAATTTATTATAGCTGTTATTGTTTCTTTCATATTTTGCCACCAATAATGCCGTTTTAATTTATTAAATGTTTCTTGGATCCGCCTATGACAAGTTTTACCCTCGTGATATTTTATCACTATCTCTCGTTGGTCCTGCTCGAAATCGGTTAAGTTAATAATTCTTTCGGTACATTCAACAAGTTTGCAAGCTCCTTTCTTATATAATTGAATTAATACGTTTGAAAAATTTATCCTAAAAGCTGGGTCTTCGAAATAGATGAAATATTTGTTTTTAAAGTCTACATATTCTTTCAGAAAGTCTTTAACTAGTGTTTCATTATTTATTGGCATATGAACTTCTAAAATACGCTGCTTTTTGTTAGACATGTCCTTGACCGAAAATTTATCAGAGAACCACGAATAAACTAGTATTTGACGCGGTTTTGAGTCTATTGCTTCGTTTAAAATCGGAATGCCTTCGTGTTCCCTATTAGATACGGAGTTCGCTGTAGCACCATCATCTGAGATTTCCATCAGTTCAGGTTGTTTTTCACTTTCCGTATCTGAGATTGACACAACTGGTCCTGTCGAGGCTAATATGTGAAAATTCTGAATTCCAGTCAATTCCGAATTATTATACTGATTTGATTCAATACATTGTTGCGAATTGCAAGGTTGATTTATTTCACTATTGGTATAGTTTATTCTCCTTGAGTTAGCAGTTCGCATTGTTACATCGGTGTTCGAAATCGACGCCACAGGTGGCGATTGATATTGCGTTAAACGCTGAGTATGCGCAGGGGCATTGTCCGCGAAATACTGACTACGCTGTATCGGGTCCGGCGCCGGCGGTACTGGTGACCTAGTGGTCGATTGTTGTTGATAATTATTGCGATGGCTATTGTTACGATTGTTATTTTGCTTAAATTGGAATGAATTATTTGACGAGTTAAAAGGGCGGTTATTATTAACGTAGGGTGACAAATTATTTTGGTTATTAAATGTATTTGCACTAGATTGCTCCGTATGGGGAATATTTCTAGGTGAATAAGTGTAATTATTGTTAGGACTCTGCCTAAAGTTTGTTCGATTAGACCGTGAATTTTTACTTTCATAAACTGACTGAAAGTTTTGTTCTTCTAAGACAATTTTCAAAGCGTCTTCTAGAGTAGTCACGTTCCGTAATCTCACAAGTCTAACTAGATATGCCGGTAAATTATAAAGAAACGCATTTAGTGAACTATGGTTATAAATAGATTGTTTCGCTAGACGTAAGTTCGGATCGTCAATCGTTTCGCTAATCTTAGAAAATAAGACACTTCTCAAATGTTGTATCCTGTGACAAAATTCCTGGTAATTTTCATTACGGTTTAATTTTAAGGATTCGAGTTCCAAAGACAAACATTCCTCGGATCTCGGGTCACCAAAATGTTGGCTTAGTAATGTTTTTAATTCGTCCCAATTATTAATATGATCCCGTTCTCCAACTAGGTTCGCCGCTTCCCCGGATAACCTACTTGTAATAACGTGGAATAAATATTCGTTTTGTAACTGGCTTCCTTGGAATGAATGGAGTATGTATTCACATTTTTTTATAAAGAGTGGTAAAAGTCTAGTATCACCATCGAAATTAGGGATAATTTTAACCATTTCCATAGGAACTCTCACTAAATTTTCCATTTTTCTTTCTTTTTGTTACAGAATACACTACCAATAAAAAAAAAATACTCTTCGGTTATTATTAAGTGAATTTATAAGGAAATTAAATGAAATAATTTAAATTCCTCAATTACTTAACTAATTAGAATAATAACTAAGTGTGAATTTATCTAGTAATTAGGCGTAATTAATCCCACAAAACCAGAATATAAACACACACAAAATAGGAGAATAAGAAGGGTAGGAAAATACAGATTGGTGAAGAAGATCTACTCACAGTGCTGCAGTTTTCCCCATGCTCCTTCTGGAATATTGGTGCTCTGTCCTTGAAGTTGGTCTGTTCCTTAATAAATTTGTTTGTTCCTTTTTTCCCGATTAAAACGTTGAGACGTACGACCGATTTTTCTGCGAAAACTTTTATTCGCCACGAATAATACTTGGTCTTACGGGTCCCTACCGACTGCGCTAATTAAGATAATGAACCCAACTTCAATAAAAAATATATTTATTTATCTTGACAGAGTTACAGTAAGAAGTTTATTACTACAATATTCGATTTTAAATGATTACAATTGTCTATTTATACTTAAGTTATATGCTACAAAACTATTTACTAAGCTTATTTACTGCATACGTTTGACCCAGATGGGATTGCTGATGATGTGCGAACGAATGAGATTTGGCAGGGGTGCTCAGCCTTAACTCACGCGACCTAACGATGGTAGCGTAACTTGAATCCTTTTAACCGACACGGCCGCGCGGACGATTTATTCTTCTAGACTGGGCAGGGCGTGGCCGCCGCGTGCAAGACGAGCGCCGGCTGGCCCAAACCGTCAAACCGGTTTTGAATGCAAGTTTTAATGTGTTTCAGATTATACACCCTGTCTTACACCGCTCTGCAGTTGGATAGGTTTCGTACCCTGATTCTGTACTCGGATAGCCATCGTAGCTCTACTACTGTACAAACACTTCAGTACTTCAATATACCGACAGTCAACTTGGCACCGCTGAAGGGACTGCAGCACCGCCCAAATTTCGACGGAATCAAAGGCTTTCTCATAGTCTACATACGCAAGACATAGTGGCAAATTTTATGCCACGATCTTCTGTACAATTTGCCGAAGGGTGTGTTTGTGGTCTATAGTGCTAAAGCCTTTTCGGAAACTGGCTTATTCGGGAGGCTGAAAGTCGTCAAGTCTGCGTGCGAGACGATTCGTAATGACTCTCGAGAACAGCACGTAGACGCGGCTCAGAAGGGAAATCGGTCTGTAGTTCTTCAAGAGAGATTTGTCGCCTTTCTTGAAGAACAAGAGCACCGCACTTCTGCTCCACGCCTCCGGAGTAGTGCCACCATGGAGGACGGAATTAAAGAGCTTCTAAAGAACTTCAAGTACTGGTTTCCACCCACTTTCAAAAGCTCTGCTGTAATTCCATTCTAGCCCGGGGACTTGCCGTCTTTAAGGTGCTGGAGAGCCATTCTAATCTCGCTCAGACTGACGTCCGGGATAGCTTCGGAATAGTGTCGGATAAGACTCGCTCTTAGATCGTTACTCACACTTGCGTGTGGTTCCAACCATAACGTGTACAGCTGCCCATAGAACCTCTCAATCTCACTCAAAATCTCAGGTGTCCCGGAAACGATGCTGCCACACTCGGTCTTCAGCTTTGACAGTTGGCTCTTTCTGGCAGACAGATCTCTGGCAAGACTTTGGAGCCTTAGTTCCGCTCGATCGCTTCTTCAATACATGCTGTATTGAAGTTGCGTAAATGGACATGTTACTACAACTGAAAGGACACCAGCACTTTTCAAATTTCACACAAATAAATGGTGTAAGGTCAAGGTCATAAAGATCCTTTTTAAACGACTTCAAAAAGGGGGAGGTACTCAATTCGACTGTATTTTTTTAATGTGTGTTACTTCATAACTTTTTTCTAGGCGAACCGATTTTGATGATTTTTTTTATTTGAAAACTGGTGCTTCTCATGTGGTCCCAATTCGATGAAGGACTGACCCGTAGTTTTTGAGTTATCCTTAATTATTTATATGGATGTCGATTGCAAAAAATTTTTAATTTTACCACTTGCTAGACAGCAAGCTCAGACAAGTTGACTTTCTAAAATTATTAATAAAAAAATAATAAATAAAAATTACTAAAAAAACTATAAAACACACACATACAGTGACAGTCATATGGTTTAACAATGACTTATGACATACTCATTAAAGAGTAAATTAGCTATTAATTAGCTGATGTATGTATGTATTAGCTGCTGTGTTCCGTATGGTGAGTGTAGATAACCGGAGACAGGGAAATTTCAGGTTTTTTTTATCCTCTTTTTAATTAATCTAAGGTTTGTTATCTTCCAGATATTATCGCTATCCAAAAACTTCTCAATATATGACGCATCAGCATATTGTAGTTCTGTAAATTTAATATGAATCAGAAAACGTTTTAGTTATTGTTTAAGACCTTTGCCTGTTTTAATTGGCTGCTAGTGGTGGTTATCTACCACTTTAAACTTTACACTTTACGCTACAAATTAAATTTCAATGGCTCTCACCTGAGCGTAGATCGGATCTCCTTGGACTTGTTGGTAGTAAGATTCGTGGCTATGACTGGAATGAGACGGGGCGAGTGCACGTAAGTCACGATGTAACGTACGCATACCGTACCCGCTGAGGACACCACCTGTGGGATAAAGAAAGGACTTACTGTAATCAGTCGGCTGGTTCACCGATACTACAATTTATCACCAATATGTCCAAAAGAGCGGGCACGTGTCACATAATTATCAGTTCTTATCACTGCCACTGCTTTTTCTTGAGTTATATATTTTTGCACGGCGAATTATTGATGCGGGGTTAGGATAAACTTCCTAATTTTGATGAAATCCTTTTAAGGATTTTTATGGAACTCAAGTGCACAGGCGTGTTATCGAGGCGGAGTTTGATCATAGACTGAAGAGGTAAGGGTTAATCGGAAGAAGGAATGCGACCAATGTGTGTGAGTGAATGAGAGATTAGCGAATGTAATAGTTGAATGAGCGTATGCATAAAATGGCCAATCCACCACCTGTAAATCAAATGAACTGAAAACTATTTTTCGGTGTAAGAAATAAAAATTTCGTTTGTCAAACGTCTAATGTTTTTAAGTAAAACATACCTCATGTGGCTCCATGAGGGTAACAGATTTTTTTAAGACGGAAGTAACCTTCCGGTCCCGTTACAGCTAAAGTCCACTGCTGACCTTAAGTTTCTCCCATAGATTGCCTTATAGGGGGGATATTTGCCGTAGTTGCCACCCTTGGCAAGCGGGTTGGCAACCGCGGTTTATTTTTTATTTTTAGTCGTTATTAGGAAGACGCTGTGGCCCATCTCCTGATTTGCTTCCCGCTGTGTCGCCTCTTACGACACCTACGGGATGATGAGGGATAGTGGATATTCTTACACCACCACTACACGGGAACATTCAGAAAAATCAAAATCATTTACGCAGTTCCAGCATTTATAAGGATGTGTGTCTCAACTCAACTAGTAGTGTAAGAAATACATGTAGTATAATTAAAGTCTTGAACTGAGAAACACGTCTCCTTTTCATTCAACACCTTCCGACATTACAAAGGCAACACCTGACTATAGTGTTTCGAGAGTATTATTCTGTATTCTGTCTGTTACGGGCGGGTAATATCCGAAAAAGTAGCAAACCAAGGTTAACCCAATGGATTGGTAAAACTTGTGGTCACCTATTGATCGAAATTCAACCATGATTCAATAAATGTCTATGTTTGTAAGTTAAGCAGGTTGTATTTCACCTTGAAGTGCACATTATTATTATACCGGCTGTTTGCGAAACGCTCCCGGGAACAAAGACAGACGATAGTACTAATGATATAGTTCATTTCAAATAGGATGGCAGGATTCCACTTGAGACTTAGCAATTACAGCTGTAATGTTAATCTATTGTTGTGTGATTATTTTATTGCTTTAACACTTGAAGTTAAGCATCTGTTGATAATAATGAACCAGTATAGCTGGAATGACGAATTTTGGTACTTGAACATTAAAACAAATTAAATTGTAGATAAAAAACCTTTATTACTTTTAACTTAACTATTTTAAATACTTATAACAACTTGTTAATATTTTGTTTAATCAATCACTCTGAAGAACATTCATCGGTATCTGTGTCCTCACACGTATTTATTATAAATGGTTGTATCCGATCCCTCGAAAGTTTAAAATAGTTTAAAATAGTATACGTACCGCAAAGACGTTACGACGCACGCATTTACCAGTAGGTATTTTGTTTTAGCGGGATTGATTATTAATTTTAGTTTTCGAGACAGTTCCGTGTTGAATATCACGTGCGCATGAGCAACAGATCAATCGTTTTATTTATTAAATTCTTGTTGTTATGTTTTGTGTTTGTTGTTTTGTTTTAATAATGCCTAACGCGTAGGCACATTTATTGTGCTCTTGAATGCCTTGGAGTATCTCATAAGGCCACGGAGTATTTAAATCGGTAAGCTGTTACATACCAAATTTTTTTTTAAATAACTTAACACTGAACTGATCTGAATAGTACATAACTGAATACATCAGAATAATAAACATGCCGTGTTAACATTTTATTTAAGTAATTTTTTCATTAGCGGGGGAATCGAACCAGGTATTTGGTTTATTTAACCTGTAAATTCGAATTAAAGTGGCTAGGTGGAGACAAGCACAGTGACAAAATAGTAGGTTAAGTTGATAAGTTAGGTATTTAGACAAGTGTTGTAAATTATTAGGTATTGTGATACGATCGCTAGCTGCGGGCCGCGCGAATTTGGCGGCCGCGCGTGTATTGATCCCTAGTCATCTGATTGTAATTCCACTGCTGGTTTTATGTTAAGTATTTTCATGATTTTTTTTAAAGAAATTATCGTTTCATTTAGCTGTAATATGTTAGTATGATGGATATGGAGCGTGAATAAAGCTAATAAAAAGTTGGTGGTGGATTAGAAAAGTTTGTAGAAGAGGACATTTTTTGTAAACTTATTTTTTGTAAACTTTTTTTTTTTATAGGATCGGGTGACAAACGAGCACACAGTCCACCTGATGGTAAGTGGTTACTGTGACCCATAGACATCTACATTTATCTTAGTTTGCGAATCAAAACGCAGATGCGTTGTCACCCGTGAGGACTAAGATGGAATGCCTCTTTGCCAGTAAAAAGGGTCTCCGGTTCTCTACACTCACCATACGAAACACAGCAGCGTTAAGCTGCTATTTTACGCTGGTTTTCTGTGAGAGCGTGGTCCTTCCCCGTTCGAGCCGACCCATTCATGCTACAACCATAATATAGCTGCAGCATGGCTCTACCAGGACATTTTTTGTAAACTAACTTAAGTTTACAAAAAATGTCCTCTAAAATAGACTATAACAAATAAATATTAATATTTTCTATAATTTCCAATCAAGTCTATCATAACTCCGGATGAATTAATTATGTAAAAAAAACATAGGTACCTTAGCTGCATTCTGTATTAAGTTGATGAGCTCCTGCAATATGTACAGACTGAACTGCTCAAGTTTATTCTTCAATACTTTGGCCATGTGAGCTATAGTTATACACGCTTCTCGGACTACCTGCAATCAATAAAATGGTTGTTTGTAACTTAGAAGATCAACAATTTAAAAGTACAGTTTCGTTATACCGAGTGACGAAAAAGTTATCACATAAAATGAACAGACGTATGCTACAGAAATTTCTTTAAACATACACAGCTAAAAAATATACAATTAATACATTAGTCGCGGTAGCATTTTTTCGTTTTAATATTAAATAACATCATGTAAATGCATACAGATATCACCTGATGAATTCTAGAAGGTCAAAAACCCATGCCATTTGAAGGCGAATATAGGTAGTTTAAACGTTGTCAATCCAAACTACTCAAAGAAAAAACCAAACAAAAACTGTACTTACGGCTAACAATTTAAGGCATGATTTTATGCGCGAAATTAAAAACGAAGATACCGCGCGCTGCGGATGTGTGAAAACAAATTCAAGCGAAAAATTTACTTAAAATAATGAAGTTAAGGCATAATTCTCTATGCGCGAAGTGACAAGAAATGGGACCGGGTGTCGAAGTTGTTATTTTTCAGGCGCGTGCGACGTTTTGTAACTCACTTCAGGTCAGTAACCTATATATTATCAAGGCTGATTTATTTCTTGTCAATTTTTTACGCTATTTATTTTGTTTGAAAAATGCATTTTTTATTTTCTTTTATTATTGTTTATTTTATTATTTTAACAGACATATATCAACTTGTATTAACTGCTGTGCTATTTAACATGATAACCTATTCGCCACTCAGTATATATATTTTTTTATAAATATATAAAAGGATTGTTTAGATTTTATTAACTACTGGCTGGCCAGGCAGACGTTCTGCCATTTTCGACGACCATTCATATAAAACATCCTTAAATTCGTAATAAAAAAATATTGAGCGTCACTTATCAGGATAAAAACTATCCTATCTCTCAAGTTGGTCCAAACTGCACAGAGTGTGCAAAATTTCATTGAAATCAGTTCAGTAGTTTAGGAGTTCATCGCGGACAAATAACGTGACATGTAATTTTTATATATAAAGATAAATAACAAAAAAATCTAACAGATAACATTGCTGAAAAAATATTCTTTACAATTTTTCTTTCAATACAAATTATAAAGCATGAATGTATATTAAAATATAATGTAATAAGCTCTGGAATAATGATAATATTACACATCAATTTTTTTCGGAACATGCCATGGCGTCCGTTACGTAATAATGAGATTAGGTTTTACCCGTAAGACACTCCTCTTAAACTTATATATAGTCTATGGTCTTCTTAGTTTGAAGTAGGTGGTGTCTGCAATATCTGCAATAGCACAATCAAGAACCGTTACAATCAATGTCACAATCAAGAGAACTGTTAGCTCGTTTGCCATAAATATAATAAAAAATAAACAGTCAGTAAATAAACATAGTAACAATTAAATCTGTAAATAATAAATACTAAGCATTCAAGATTTTAAAAATTAATTATCAAAGATCCGCTTAATAAAACATAAAATGACGTATCTTACCTAGTTTCACCTGACGAAACACGTGTCGAATAATCGACGATGGCGCATCTTTCCTAGTGTAGTGATGTTGGGAATAGTGGTGTTGAAATTAGTGGTGACGGGAATAGTACACGCAATTGAGTGAAAGGAATTTCCGTCAGAGCGGCCTCTCAACGAAGCCTAGCCATTTGCGCAGCACATGATTAAAGTGAACCCGTGAGTGCGCAAACAGAGGTTCACCTCTATTTCCTCACTCCATGTTTGACATCTTTCAAACTTTAATAATTTTGAAGTAAACATATTAAATTTTACAAACCTGGCTCCTCAGATCTTTGATCACGACTAGAAAAGGCACTGAAAGGTCTTTGAGATGAGCTGCGAACTCCGTCGGGTACTGAACGTGAGCGTTCGCGGCCAGAAGCGAACGAATTTTCTTTAACTATAATAAAAATATTTAAAATGAATAATTAGTTGAAATAAACAAGGTATGTAACTATAAATTAATTAATTAACAATTAATTATATCTTTAAATTGATAAATGAATACAGTGTCTTAATTTTCTATTAAGTTATAAAGATTATTGCAGTCGCTGTAGTATATTGTGTAGGATTTTTAATGTTAAGTGAAGCGTGTATATGTAGTATAGAATAGAATAGAATAGAATGATTTTTATTCAATATGGATTATTATATAATACTTTAAGTCATTATTTTATTTACCACTGGTTCGGAAAATACCTCTGTCCTGGGAAGAACCAGCAAGAAACCCAGCGGTACTTTTTTTTAAACATAATTTCACTTAACAATAATTTTGTTTATACAATTTTAAATGAATATTCATAGAACCAGCATGGTGGCGATCACCTTATTCCGCTTATTATTAGTATATGTGTATATGTTGTTATATGTTGTGCATGTGGTAGAGCCATGCTGGAGATATATTAGTAGTATAGTTGTACAACGAACGGGTCGGTTTGACCGGGGAAGGACCACGCTCTCACAGAATACCAGCGTACTGCTGTGTTTCGTATGGTGAGTGTGGAAAACCGGAGACCATTTTTACTGGAAAAGAGGCATTCCGTCTTAGTCCTCACGGGTGATAACGCATCTGCATTTTGATTCTTTGTTGAGGATAACAATGAAATATAAATTTCCGTGTACGTGTGTGTATGTGTCGAATATGCGCAGGTGTTTAATTGTGCAGCGTGTAAAGATTTGGACGTATATTTAAGCTTGAGTGTACGTATTTAGTTATGGTCGACATATACGCATACGTGATAGTATGCTGCATGTGTGTAATTTGTAAACGAACCATGTCGACGTTTCCGTCGATGTCGGCTAATGCGCGGTGTTCGTATGTGTGAATGGTCGTGTGTGTGTTGTACTGCATAGGCCACAGCCATGCGTCGTAGTGTGTGTGTGTGTGTATGAGCGTGTATGTGTTTATTGAGTTACTCGCAACTACGTGCAGTGTCCGTCAACGTATAAAGGATCGTTTATGAGGGTGTACCGCGTCGACGCGGCGCTCCCAGTCGGCGGCGCGGTCGCCGAGCAGCGCGGCGGCGTGGCGTGTGTTGGTGCACGTGTGTGTACGTGTGCGTGTGTGTGTGCGTGTGCGCACGTACCGCGTCGACGCGGCGCTCCCAGTCGGCGGCGCGGTCGCCGAGCAGCGCGGCGGCGTGGCGTGTGTTGGTGCACGTGTGTGTACGTGTGCGTGTGTGTGTGCGTGTGCGCACGTACCGCGTCGACGCGGCGCTCCCAGTCGGCGGCGCGGTCGCCGAGCAGCGCGGCGGCGTGGCGTGTGTTGGTGCACGTGTGTGTACGTGTGCGTGTGTGTGTGCGTGTGCGCACGTACCGCGTCGACGCGGCGCTCCCAGTCGGCGGCGCGGTCGCCGAGCAGCGCGGCGGCGTGGCGTGTGTTGGTGCACGTGTGTGTACGTGTGCGTGTGTGTGTGCGTGTGCGCACGTACCGCGTCGACGCGGCGCTCCCAGTCGGCGGCGCGGTCGCCGAGCAGCGCGGCGGCGTGGCGTGTGTTGGTGCACGTGTGTGTACGTGTGCGTGTGTGTGTGCGTGTGCGCACGTACCGCGTCGACGCGGCGCTCCCAGTCGGCGGCGCGGTCGCCGAGCAGCGCGGCGGCGTGGCGTGTGTTGGTGCACGTGTGTGTACGTGTGCGTGTGTGTGTGCGTGTGCGCACGTACCGCGTCGACGCGGCGCTCCCAGTCGGCGGCGCGGTCGCCGAGCAGCGCGGCGGCGTGGCGTGTGTTGGTGCACGTGTGTGTACGTGTGCGTGTGTGTGTGCGTGTGCGCACGTACCGCGTCGACGCGGCGCTCCCAGTCGGCGGCGCGGTCGCCGAGCAGCGCGGCGGCGTGGCGTGTGTTGGTGCACGTGTGTGTACGTGTGCGTGTGTGTGTGCGTGTGCGCACGTACCGCGTCGACGCGGCGCTCCCAGTCGGCGGCGCGGTCGCCGAGCAGCGCGGCGGCGTGGCGTGTGTTGGTGCACGTGTGTGTACGTGTGCGTGTGTGTGTGCGTGTGCGCACGTACCGCGTCGACGCGGCGCTCCCAGTCGGCGGCGCGGTCGCCGAGCAGCGCGGCGGCGTGGCGTGTGTTGGTGCACGTGTGTGTACGTGTGCGTGTGTGTGTGCGTGTGCGCACGTACCGCGTCGACGCGGCGCTCCCAGTCGGCGGCGCGGTCGCCGAGCAGCGCGGCGGCGTGGCGTGTGTTGGTGCACGTGTGTGTACGTGTGCGTGTGTGTGTGCGTGTGCGCACGTACCGCGTCGACGCGGCGCTCCCAGTCGGCGGCGCGGTCGCCGAGCAGCGCGGCGGCGTGGCGTGTGTTGGTGCACGTGTGTGTACGTGTGCGTGTGTGTGTGCGTGTGCGCACGTACCGCGTCGACGCGGCGCTCCCAGTCGGCGGCGCGGTCGCCGAGCAGCGCGGCGGCGTGGCGTGTGTTGGTGCACGTGTGTGTACGTGTGCGTGTGTGTGTGCGTGTGCGCACGTACCGCGTCGACGCGGCGCTCCCAGTCGGCGGCGCGGTCGCCGAGCAGCGCGGCGGCGTGGCGTGTGTTGGTGCACGTGTGTGTACGTGTGCGTGTGTGTGTGCGTGTGCGCACGTACCGCGTCGACGCGGCGCTCCCAGTCGGCGGCGCGGTCGCCGAGCAGCGCGGCGGCGTGGCGTGTGTTGGTGCACGTGTGTGTACGTGTGCGTGTGTGTGTGCGTGTGCGCACGTACCGCGTCGACGCGGCGCTCCCAGTCGGCGGCGCGGTCGCCGAGCAGCGCGGCGGCGTGGCGTGTGTTGGTGCACGTGTGTGTACGTGTGCGTGTGTGTGTGCGTGTGCGCACGTACCGCGTCGACGCGGCGCTCCCAGTCGGCGGCGCGGTCGCCGAGCAGCGCGGCGGCGTGGCGTGTGTTGGTGCACGTGTGTGTACGTGTGCGTGTGTGTGTGCGTGTGCGCACGTACCGCGTCGACGCGGCGCTCCCAGTCGGCGGCGCGGTCGCCGAGCAGCGCGGCGGCGTGGCGTGTGTTGGTGCACGTGTGTGTACGTGTGCGTGTGTGTGTGCGTGTGCGCACGTACCGCGTCGACGCGGCGCTCCCAGTCGGCGGCGCGGTCGCCGAGCAGCGCGGCGGCGTGGCGTGTGTTGGTGCACGTGTGTGTACGTGTGCGTGTGTGTGTGCGTGTGCGCACGTACCGCGTCGACGCGGCGCTCCCAGTCGGCGGCGCGGTCGCCGAGCAGCGCGGCGGCGTGGCGTGTGTTGGTGCACGTGTGTGTACGTGTGCGTGTGTGTGTGCGTGTGCGCACGTACCGCGTCGACGCGGCGCTCCCAGTCGGCGGCGCGGTCGCCGAGCAGCGCGGCGGCGTGGCGTGTGTTGGTGCACGTGTGTGTACGTGTGCGTGTGTGTGTGCGTGTGCGCACGTACCGCGTCGACGCGGCGCTCCCAGTCGGCGGCGCGGTCGCCGAGCAGCGCGGCGGCGTGGCGTGTGTTGGTGCACGTGTGTGTACGTGTGCGTGTGTGTGTGCGTGTGCGCACGTACCGCGTCGACGCGGCGCTCCCAGTCGGCGGCGCGGTCGCCGAGCAGCGCGGCGGCGTGGCGTGTGTTGGTGCACGTGTGTGTACGTGTGCGTGTGTGTGTGCGTGTGCGCACGTACCGCGTCGACGCGGCGCTCCCAGTCGGCGGCGCGGTCGCCGAGCAGCGCGGCGGCGTGGCGTGTGTTGGTGCACGTGTGTGTACGTGTGCGTGTGTGTGTGCGTGTGCGCACGTACCGCGTCGACGCGGCGCTCCCAGTCGGCGGCGCGGTCGCCGAGCAGCGCGGCGGCGTGGCGTGTGTTGGTGCACGTGTGTGTACGTGTGCGTGTGTGTGTGCGTGTGCGCACGTACCGCGTCGACGCGGCGCTCCCAGTCGGCGGCGCGGTCGCCGAGCAGCGCGGCGGCGTGGCGTGTGTTGGTGCACGTGTGTGTACGTGTGCGTGTGTGTGTGCGTGTGCGCACGTACCGCGTCGACGCGGCGCTCCCAGTCGGCGGCGCGGTCGCCGAGCAGCGCGGCGGCGTGGCGTGTGTTGGTGCACGTGTGTGTACGTGTGCGTGTGTGTGTGCGTGTGCGCACGTACCGCGTCGACGCGGCGCTCCCAGTCGGCGGCGCGGTCGCCGAGCAGCGCGGCGGCGTGGCGTGTGTTGGTGCACGTGTGTGTACGTGTGCGTGTGTGTGTGCGTGTGCGCACGTACCGCGTCGACGCGGCGCTCCCAGTCGGCGGCGCGGTCGCCGAGCAGCGCGGCGGCGTGGCGTGTGTTGGTGCACGTGTGTGTACGTGTGCGTGTGTGTGTGCGTGTGCGCACGTACCGCGTCGACGCGGCGCTCCCAGTCGGCGGCGCGGTCGCCGAGCAGCGCGGCGGCGTGGCGTGTGTTGGTGCACGTGTGTGTACGTGTGCGTGTGTGTGTGCGTGTGCGCACGTACCGCGTCGACGCGGCGCTCCCAGTCGGCGGCGCGGTCGCCGAGCAGCGCGGCGGCGTGGCGTGTGTTGGTGCACGTGTGTGTACGTGTGCGTGTGTGTGTGCGTGTGCGCACGTACCGCGTCGACGCGGCGCTCCCAGTCGGCGGCGCGGTCGCCGAGCAGCGCGGCGGCGTGGCGTGTGTTGGTGCACGTGTGTGTACGTGTGCGTGTGTGTGTGCGTGTGCGCACGTACCGCGTCGACGCGGCGCTCCCAGTCGGCGGCGCGGTCGCCGAGCAGCGCGGCGGCGTGGCGTGTGTTGGTGCACGTGTGTGTACGTGTGCGTGTGTGTGTGCGTGTGCGCACGTACCGCGTCGACGCGGCGCTCCCAGTCGGCGGCGCGGTCGCCGAGCAGCGCGGCGGCGTGGCGTGTGTTGGTGCACGTGTGTGTACGTGTGCGTGTGTGTGTGCGTGTGCGCACGTACCGCGTCGACGCGGCGCTCC